AGAAGATAAGCCTTCATCGCGTTTCTCTGTTCCTCTTTTAAAATTAATTTGCTGTCGATATCTTCTAGAACAGACCTAATAGCAGAATCTACACACCTCAACTCTCCAGCGGCAGCCATTGCTGTTGTCACCCAAGCGCACTTTGGTCACGTGGTTGATTACTTTACTGTTGATCATCTGTCCATCATCGTATAAAGCCCGCCCTGACAATTTGATTGGCCCGCCAGATATTGTGCTAGCATACTCGCGCTACTGTTGAGCAATGCCAGACCGAACTTCCCGACCTCAAACGTTGTGGGCGGGACTAAGTTTGGAATGGCACCCAGGCTAAAGTGGCCTGAGTCACATTGGGAAAAAAATCGTATCTGTGTTGTTCAGACAGCCATGAAAAGAACAGCTCCAGGTGGCATATGGGCCAAAAAATCCGATTTGGGTCGCTAAAGGCTGCAGTGTGAACGTAGCATAAGAGTTGCATGATGGTTGCTCTCAAGGACTGGACTAAAGCACTCCTGCAAATTCAGTGATTTTATCAATAAGCAGAGATTATTTTCAATACTCTTAACAGTTTGGAGTGTTTTGTAATTTTGGAAGCCTTTATGATTTTTAAACTCAAAAAACACTTTAAAATCCTTATTTGAATTAGTAGAGCCTTTATTAAAAACACAGTTTGTGACCAACTCTGTTTTTTTGAGATGTCTGAAGGGGGTGAAAAGGGCATTTATATCTCTGAATTAGAACGCCTTATTTCTGTTTCATGAGTTTGAAATACATTTTATTTATTTATTTATTTTTTTTTATGTCCTAAGTAGAGGTCAAGCGATATAGTTTTTTAAGGCTGATACCTATTATTTTGACTTAAGTCTAAATTAACCCCGATATGAGCTGCTGATATTTTTGGTCTGATTTTGGAGACAGTTTTCTTTCTCCGTTTAAATGATAAAAATGGCAAAATAATAACTAGGACAAATTTCAACTCAAACGAAAAAGAAACATTTATTTAGAAAACTGAGCATTAACGATAGATAGCAAATTAATGGAGGGCCCAGGCGTTTGCTAAATGTGATCTTAAGGCATGGCTGCTGAATGCACTAAGGAATCAGCCTATACAGTTACAAGAAAAATTTATCTACCAAAAATATCCGCTGGCCGGCGTATCGGTATACCTCTAGTCCAAACTGTTAGATTGAAGATAAAGCAGCTCCTGAAGAAGGATGGAGCTTTAAACGTTTGTATGAAACCTGAAATTTGAGTAAGACAAATTCCAACTTAACCATGTGAACACCTTCTGCACAGGATCTGAAGATTTGTCTTTACAGTGTAAGACATTATTAAGGGTAGAAAATAACAGCCTCCTCACATTCTATTGATCTGCAAACAACTTTAAACATCTTAATGGAAGGTTTAAAGTAATGAAAGTAATGAATGACAAGTTAAAAAAACCTCATCGAAACTTTAGCATGTATTGCTAATATCAAAAATACACTGAAAAAAAAACAACAAAAAAACGATCACAATCTGATGCAAATTTCATAACAGCCACTTAACTCCTAGTTTGTGTGAGGCAACCCTGGACAGGAGAAGGTGGGGTGAGGGGGGCAGGTCATTACCAACAACAGGGGAGTATTGAATGGACCCAGACAAACAGCCAACCCCCCTACCGCTAATGAGGTAACAATGAAGCGGGGTCATAGACTCATGACCTGTCCTAAGACCCAGACAAACGGCCTGTCTGGACCAGCTCCCAGGTCAGCCCAGGATGCCTCTAACCCCTTGCTCACACTGGCTCCGGTGCAGTTACCGAGCCGACGGAGACCGCAACTCCCGCACACCCCCTCTCACACCGCCCTTTTGACTACGGTGCGGTGCGGCTCTGCGGCTCTGCGGCTCCGGCAACAGGTCCGGAGATTTAACAGAAGTTCACTTGAGTTCACGTAACTTCACGCGATAACACGGCCCAAATAAAGGATTTTTGCGAGAGCTTGTTGCGGAGGGCTCCGGCACGCCGCAAGGATAGCTTTCTTGCGGAATTTTCTGCAGCGCCGGAGTGTCTCGGTAACCGCAGCCGGACAGCTCAGCAGCCGGTGAGAGAGGTTTACGTCTTTTTAATGACTTGGAATCCTTGCCGCGCCGCACACACCGCACCGCAACGGTAAGACCGGAGTCTGTGTGAGCCTGGGGTTACTCCACATTTCCCACTGCTGCAGGTTTTTAAAAGATGCAGATTCTTCTCTTGAAACAGCTGTTATTGTCCTGCTTAACATCTTCATTAGTCAGTGTTGTGTTTGTGTCCATAAACTGTGCAAATCAAATGTTCCTGCACAGAATGTCCTATTCTGCTGAGCTTTTTACCGTACGCTCCAGTTCAGTCTGTCAGGATGCAGGCCTGCCTAACAGCACAGTGATTTGCATGTTCCCCTGATACATATTGGACTGGCTATCTAATCTAAAACTGCTGACTCCTACTGGAAAGTCATATAATAGGACCTGAAGGATGAAAAGCTTTTGGTTTGTAGTCCAAAAAAAAACCTAGTGCGACGCTAATGCAATTTGCATCAACTGTAGTTGTGCTCCGTGTCTCCTTTCGCCACTGAATTGCACGCACTAGTGGTGCCTCTGGGTGGCCCAGGTGGTGCTGCACCTGTTCTAATAAGAAACACCGTTCGGTGGAGCACCTCGGGGTATTAACCAGGCCTTTTCTCCACTCGGATGTTCATCACTCACACACCACAATGGATTCATTGGTAGCAGGAAGGAAGGACTGCCCCTCTGAAGGGGCAGGCTTTGGTGTGTTATAGCTTCTTGTCAGCCCTTAATAGATTTTTAACTTCTTCAGAATATCCCTACCCTTTGTTTTTAACAGAACTTTTCCAATAACAAATTCAAGAATTAGAATTTTTCCAGAAACAAATATATATATATATATATATATATATATATATATATATATATATATATATATATATATATATATATATATATATATATAATTCTTTGCTATTCGTTGACTTAAAAAATATAAACGGTGAAATAAAATAGTGATGACAGCATAAATAAAATTTCAAAGCTAAGCTTCGGGTTATGACAGAGTTACCATATCATATTTCTAAAGCTCTTAAAGGCAACATAAAGGCTGACAAAATTGCTGTGAAAAAAAATTTGTTAAGAAAAAAAAAATGGAAAACGGGATTAAGCTATAAAATACTGGTCAATACAAAGGAGCTACTTTAACCTTTAAAATAAATGCATAAATGTAAAAATTAACCAACCAAAATGAACTGAATCTGGCTTAATGTCTGTAAAGTGCCTTGAGATGACATTTGTTGTGAGTTGGCACCAAATAAATAAACTGAATTTAACAGACATCTTCAAAATGAACAAACGCTATTTGTTATCACTTTTTTCAGACCTGAAAATTGCATCCCAAAATCAGATTCTTCTACAGGTTCAGCTATAAATATTGTTTCTAACCTTAGGATAAGCAGAAAAATATTAGTATATAAGTATGTCATTGATGCTTACCCATAATGTCACCGGGGTGACGTCGCAGTATGTGTAAGAGGGAACAATTGGTGTTATGTCACTCCAAGGTTTAACAGATTTTCACTATTTTTTTTATTGATTAAAAAGCTGAAATGATTTGATGCACTTACTGTAGCATGATTAGCATTAGGGTTGTAAATCGCACCCATCATGGCGATTCGATTCAGTATCGATTTCCTGAACCAATGATTAGATTATTTTCGGTACCCAAGAATACACCACGATATGATTCGATTAATTGGTTCATTTTTTTTTTTTTAACACCTTACACCTTAACTCAAATTTGAAATAAATCAATGAAAGCTGTAATATCGTTATGCATTTTATTTTATTTTTTAGAAACAACAGCAAATAACAGAAGTAGAAAAGTTGCACTCAACCTATTCCTATTAAAACCTCATTCACTGAAAAATAATAATGCCCCTGCGTTTTAGATTCTGAAACACTTTGCATCAAAAAATACTGCACAAAATCAGTGCAATGAGTACAATGCAATACCTCGGCTCCAGACGTCCCCGCACCCCCCACAGACGCTCCGCTGCAGCTCTCCCAAATTGTAGCTGACCGCAAACAGTGCCGCAGACAAGAGGCCGGCTTGTTTTGTTTTCATGACCCTCATGTCATCCGTCATCGGACTAAACTCGCCCCCACTTCGTCACCTCCTCGGCCGTATCTAGACCCACAGCCTGTAGCACAGACCACGCTTCAATATGGAGGATAAATCAGAAATGTCTGTGTCAAGTTCGCTGCAACACACTGCTGTAAGAGTATAACCAGGAAGCGAGGTAGGAGGGCAAAATTTGATAGCGCCACCGCAGCACAGGAGGGAGAATTACGTCCAGGAGCAAATTAATAAAAACAGACCGGAGGAAAAAGAAAACATATATCGATACTCTTGCGGACGTATCGATGCATCGGATCGTCGGCTGTTGAATCGATGCATCGATACAAAACGATTATTATTTACACCCCTAATTAGCATTGCCACTATATAATGCTGACTTGCTGAGTCAGTAGACCTTCAACATTATTGAGTTTCCAAAGAATCACCAACCTTTCCTATACCATCATGTCCTTTAACCGTCTCTGTTAGACTCAAACATTAAATGGAACAGCTTTGGTCTGATATTTTAATCTCCTGGTGTCCAGCCTACTGTGAAAACCTGAAATAAGAAATGGACATGCTTGTGTAGGCAGAATCTGGCAGAATCTTCTAACCTCCTTTAAGCCCGCTGTAAACCCCATATTAACTGACTGGAAACAGAGTGTTGTTGACAGTGCAATCTGCGAGTGCTGTTGTTAATGGTTTGCTGAGCGGTAGACGACCAACTGTTTAGTTTTGTCGATCAAACCTAAAATCCTAAGGTCATCCTCTGCTCAATATGTCATTCTCTGGTTATAATGTTAAACTGTTCTGTGTGTTGTCTGTTTTTATTAATATCTCTGCTTTTTCTTTTTAGGATTTACGGAAACAGGTCGCCCCCCTACTAAAGAGCTTCCAAGGAGAGGTGAGTTTAATATTTAGATATTTAAACCATCACTGCTCCCTTTGCAGTATTTAAACAGTGTTGTTTACAAACCATGCTTGACATTCTTCAGAGCTCCTCTCTTCCTTTTCTTTTCTCATCTTTCTTACGTTGTCACTTATTCTCTCCCTCTCAGCACTATCTCATTTCCCCCTGTTCCTCTTTCGTCTCCTCCTTGGCTTTGCTCTCCTCTCCTGCTCTTGATTTTCTGTCCTATTCATGAAGTCCTGTAGCCCCAGGGTGTGTTTAAATTGCATCCTGCAAAAAAAAAAAAAAAAAAAAAATCACCACAAAATCCTATCTCTTTCCTCACACTTTGTTCCTCTGTAGTATTCAGTTCTCTTTTGATGAACCATAAACCATTTTTTCCTCTTTTGTTGTATGATATTTACTGACTTTCAGTTAAATGGTGAATAGAAAAAGATCGATTTAAAAAAATTGAACAGGCTGTGCGTGTGTCTAATCATGCTCCTAATATTGCCCACTTTGACGTCCTCCATCATTTTGGCCTGATTCCATCTTGACTCCTCCTCCCTGGCAGCCGCACATTTCATGTTCACTCCCATATGTGAAAGTCCGAGGGTAGGAGTGCAGACGGCTGGTTAAGACTGGGGCTTTATTCAGGGTCAGAGTGGGAGGGTGCACACTGACGCACTCCCAAGGAAACACACACACACACACATACACAGTGCAGCAGAATCATCTGAATACATAGTGACAAGGTCTGTTTTACTACTGGCCATGGAATATTACAGTTTAACACTGGGTCCGTTTCCATATTCTTGTGTTAAAACAACAAACACAGCTGGCCTTTTTGTAAAAATACAGTAATTTATCGCGGTTCCACCGCGTTCTGCTGATGATCTACAATCTATTTAGAGAATAAAAACGGCAGCAGTATAATTGGGGCTTTGTCAGCTGTTTCCACCATCCTTATGTTGACACACCTCGATGGCGTGCACACCAGGACACGCTGAGACGCGCCGTGGGTGGCCTCGGAACTAAAAAAAAAAAAAAGACATTATCTTATGATTATTGAGATAATACTGTACACCCGCGCCAGTCTCGGAGCACCCCATCAATCAGGCGACTATTCTGTGCGCTTGCATGCCACGACTTGAGTCGCATTCAGAATGTGTAATTTTAGACCCGTCTTTGTTTGCTTAGCCCTCAAAGCCTTTGATCAGGAAACAAGACGGCACCAAAAAAACAAAAAAAGAAAATAACAAGAAGGGGTCTTTTTTTTTGGGGGGGGGGGGGGGGGAGGGGAAGAGTCTCACTCATCTCCCAGCACCCCCCACCCCCACATACAAGCAATAATCACTGCTAAGTGAATGTGGAGCTCTGAGGGAGCAATAAAAAGTTTCAGCAGAAGGAACTTAAAGGGTTCAACAGTTTGTTTAATCTTTGTCATTGAAAGGTGGATGTCCTCTGGTTATAATTATTACCAATAACAGGACGGTTTCCACGAGGCATCGGTTTGGTAAACGGGGTTAGTGTGTGTGTGTATTTCATGCTTAGTGTTCCTTGTTGGTCCATCGATCAGATAAGCTTTTCCATTATCCAAGGCTTCAGTCTCTGCTTCCCATAGCCTCCCCTTATCAGACTCCACTGGGGCCACACACACAAACACACACACACACACAGGTCAGCCTGATGCCCTTCACACACTACGGGTTAGATAGGGGAGCAAGGCGGTGCTGAGTGATGGTTCCACAAGCTGCTGACGTATGTATGTATGTGTTTGGACTTGTAGGGATGCCTTCTGCCACTGTAAGCACTTCTCATTGGTAACCCACCGATACTGGCGAGGTATCATTTGTGCCACTTGGTTTGTTGTCTTGGGCTGAGTCTATGTGTCTGTGTGGGATGTGGGGGGGAGGCAGGGGAGCATGTAACAGCAGATGTCATCGGGATTGGTTGAGTGAGCCGCAGTTTGGAACAGCAGGGCTGTATTTGCAAATCCTGGGTGGTCTTCTAATGGCTCCGGTCCTGCAGTTAACCTGCTTTTAACTGTAGGGTGTGTCCTACATTAAATGTCTATTTCCTGCCTCCCATGTTGCGCTATATAAAGCCGTCGTACCACTGACCTTGGCCCAGTCATTGTACAGTCATGCAGCTGGTTTCCTTCACTGCCATCAGTTTTTTTTTTCTGTTCTTTATCGGCTGTGTTGACGGTTCTCAGAAACGCTGATCACATGTTATTATAAACACATGCACACAAGTTCAGCGTTGTTGTGTAAGCGGTCCTTGTTCTTAACATCAGTAATCTTCCATTAGTGGCTGAGTATCTTCAGCCGCACACGGTCACACAGCGTTGGGAAAAGGGTAGAGGACATGAGGCAGCGTGTTGTCAGAATGAGATTTATCGTTGGAGTTTGGGTCGGTTGTAGAGTCCCTGGGTGTGATAACACTGAGGAAAGGTATCCGTGTTTACAGCGAAATGTAAAACAAACAAAGTGCCTTTTCTTTTTAACAACAACTGTAAAAAAAAAAAAAGATCATAAAGTATTTCTATAGATCCAGATTAACATCTTTATCAGTATTGATCAGTGTGAATGTGGTCTGATATTAAAGGCTAATATTTTATTTCTGTTTCTTTTTTTTTTATTCGTTAGGGTGAGAAAATCAGGTGACAGTATAGTTAGGTGTTTTTTCCTGAAGTTATGTCAGCAGTTTGGTCATTTTCTATCAAGGTGTGAAAAAGGTTAGAAAATATGGGCAATGAGAATATTTATATTGTTTATAAATTCTACCTAATTGTTTATACCTACACATGGCTAGCAGCAAGTATATTAAACAGCTGGTTCTGACATAAAGTTCGGACTCTGTAACTTTATACTTTTTTAAAGCCTGATACTCCTTGATTAAGCCCAAAGGAGTTGATTTTTCTGGTGTTAAGAAACACTGGAGCAGGCAGAAAAAGACTGAAAATCATTGATGGAACGGGGGGAAAAAGAACGAGTCTGAGAACATGGAAGTGACAAGACATAGACTGAGAGAGAGCCAGAAAAAAAAAGGGGGGGGGGGGGGTGAGAGGGGGAGGGAGGGGTGCTGGCACCAGCCTACTCGAGGCCAGATGTTTTGCGGCTAAAAAACTAGAGATGAATCAAAGCCATGTGAGGAGATTTATTAGGTTCCCATAGGAGCCGAGGCAGTGTTACATGTAGCCTGTTCTGTTTACAGTGGCAAGAACCCCCTAAACCACCCATCAACTACACTACTGGCTTGGCTGGGAATGTGAAGACTTTATATTTGGACTTACGCAGGCTTTTGTCTCCATTCCTTTTCAGTTGGTGAATGTGCTGGAGGAGTTGGAAGAGAAACACAGGGCTGTTTAGTCTAAGTGCGGGAGCCAGAGTTGTCAGCTGTAGCTCTGCCCAGTACAGTAGCACCATCTGAATGTCTTTATTTGGCATCTGTTTCCCTCAATTTAGACATGATTTCAGATGTGTTTTCGCCTACTGTGTCTGATTCTCATATTGATGTGTGGCACAGACTATAGCAGAGCCTCACTGCCTCCTGTTTCAGCATTGGCAGCACTAGAAAAGTTCCACACTGGGATTTTTTTTTTGGGTAATAATTTCTTATAGATCCATCCTAATGTCGTCCATTTCAACGTTATTGGTGATGGAATGCATGCCGTGTCCTCTCGTGTTAATGGCTACATCAGTAATGGATCCACACTGTATTGCTGCTAAGAGCTGACTGAATAATCTGCCCCTGCTGTGGCTGGAAAGACTGAGCCAGCTGTTTAATGATGTCAGCGTGCTGGAGGGGGGAGACGAACACACAGTTTCACAAAAACACACACACACATACGCTAACAGGCGGGCTTGGGCACACTCACTCGAGGACACAGGCACGCACTTGTGCACGGCAAACAAAACGCATCCGTCAGCAGCCGAACAGCTGAACCGGCTTCACGGGAAGGAAACGGCAAAGCAGCCGTTGTTGAGATAGCCTCGATCGCAGGCAGCATACCAGAGCATAGTGAGAAAAGGCAGATATGTAGGCTACTCTTACTGTGAATTTAATGCGCCTTCCTCTTGGGTCAATAGATCCGACTCCTAGATTTGTGGTGATAATTAAAAGTCCCCTTTTCATTTTTTCCACCTTTGCAGATTGACGCCTTGAGTAAAAGAAGTAAAGAAGCAGAGGCCGCCTTCTTGAACGTGTACAAGAAAATAATTGATGTCCCAGGTAAGAATAGTTTTCATTTTCTGTTTAGAAACATGCACTCAAAATCAGCCCCCGTAACTGAACTTTATGTCTGGTGGTTTAAAGACAGGAGATTTGTGATGAATTAATAAGTTTAAAATATAGAATAAAAAATAATATAATGCTTGAAATAATTTAATAAACATACTTACGTTGCAGAAAGCTATTAGTGAATAAAAAGCTGCTGTTAGCTGGATAGTCAGGCTATTTGAGGCCAGCTGCTTAACAGACACAATTAGTTTTTGTTTTCAAGAATGGAAATATTAGGGTTTTTTTTTCAGTTGTGTTTGTTTCCCCGTTAGCAGGATTACTTAAATATTAGTGAACAATTGATGAAACTTTCTGAGAGCTTCAGCATCAGACAAAACAAAAAATTGGGACGTAATATACTATATAATACAAGGGCTAAAATGATTATTTAATCTACTGACCAAAGAAGAGAGCAGAGCAAATGATGGTTAGAGCAGAGCAGACACCAGAGGCTGCAGACACGCATGGTGCCTTTCTTATGAAATTATGAAAGGATTTTAAGGACATTTTGACCAGATGTGCGCCTCATACTTAGTAACATTCTTTAAAATTTGGAAATGATCCAGATCATGTGAGTGTTAGTTATAGGTCTAAGTCACAATTTGGGTCTGTGCTCAGAGTCTTTTCTAGTTGATGTAATATCATCAATATAGAAAGATAAAATAATTGCCTTATAATTTTTGTTGAAACTTAGCACAATTATAAACATAATGAACTAAAGTTAAAATATCTCCATGCATTAGAATACTTAAAACAAACAAGGTGAAAGCTTGACTGACCAAACATGAACTGATTTGACTGTTAGGGAAAAGGCAAGCTAGTTGGAGAATGGACTCCAGCTACAGCCCTGGTTAACGACTAGAGTCAGTTTAGTGGGAAAGCCCTCATTAAGTCTTCGCCACGCATTACCTGTATCCACCGAAGACTGTTGTTAGCGTTATCCTACTGCTCTTTGTTTTGGTGAATCTACTGATTAGACAAAGCATCGCGAGTCAGGATGGAACATTTTGAGTTTTCGAAATGTCTGTACACCTCAGCACAGGTAGCCATGCTCAGTCTAGCATCTCTTTTTGGAGTGCCGTGTGGTTCCTTAATACATCCCTACAAGGACTAATCCTATGGGTGCAGCTTTAAGATGGTCTTAACGGAACGTGCATCCTGACATCGATGACAAGTACGCCCCGGATTGGCTGCGGCGAAGCGCACGCACAAAAACAGTCACGTTTCTTCCACTGAGGAAGAGAGAAATTACAGAAGCATCTGCACAGAGCTGCTGGTTGGTGATTTTTAGCTGTGTGGAAGTCCTGGAGGGCCCCGAAATGTAGGAACGAGAGGAGTTGAGTTCATCTATAGCGTAAGGAGGTCATCATATTCCCACACGGATAGACCTACAGTAATATCTTTGGATTGTACTGCTCCCAATAAGTCAGCAGCGGCTCTGACGGGGCTATTCTTAACCTGCAGCGAGACAATGATGTAATGCCCGATGCACAGAGACACAGAGCAGCCTGACTAATGCAGCAGTCTTGAAAGAGGAAACAGTGTGTTTTCTTCTGTCTTCTGTCAGCTGAAGGCCTGGACAGTCAGCCCAGTGTGCTCTGGTTTGTATTAAAGGTGTCTGGTGAGAGTGTTCAGCACCAGGGGCCCACACGTCGGGCTGTCTTTAACAGGCTAGTCTGCTGATTGGACGAGGGAGGGACGGGTTCTCTGTGAAGGACGAAACTTTGATAAGTGGGAGAGAATGTTCATTTTCAAGGGCACAAAAGTATCTGTTAGTCTATATGCAGAGCAAACGTTTATGTTACTTTGTATTTTTTTTGTGTTTTTTCTTGTTTGTTTGAGAGTCGAACGTGTGTGTGTTTGAACTCAGCCCTGCGTGGTGTGTCACCTTGACAGCACGAAATCAGCATGAAATTCCCCAATCGTTCTCTGCTGATCTCTCATTAGCATAGTTAAGATATCTAACTGCGTCAGACACAAGAAACACACACACACATACACAGCTCTTACCCCCAGCTGTAAGCTGTCAGTTCCTCTTATCTGTACAACACACACACACAAACGCGCACACGCATAAACTGCTCTTTTAGCTGGCATGCTGATGAGCGTTGCCTGCGTCTCTTGGCTGCCTGTCACCAGTCTGCCACCCATGAGCACCAATCAGATGTGATTGGCCTGACTGACAGGGCTCTCTCCATCACGCTGACAGTTTACCCTGCTGTGTGTTTTCCGGGGCTGTTGGTAAAATGCCTCCTTTCTTGCTTCCATCCCTGTTTCTCTAATCTCTAATTTATGGTTTCTCGCTGCCTTTTTTTCCCCCTGCTTTTCTTTCCCACTTTGTTCAACTGTCTGCTCCCATGTCTGGTTTTTGCTCTCGCTTTCAAGATGCATCGGAGTGAACACTAGAACTGATCACAGCCCAGTAATCTCTCGTTAATGTGTCTAATCTGTGTTCCTGTCTGTCTGCCTCTGTTTGTGTCTGTTTTCCACTTCTCCCGCTGCGTCAGCCATCATCGCGTTAGATCCCTTCCCATAAAAGATCCAATGTTTGTGACAAAGCTAAACAGTCTCTTCTTGCGGGTCATTCATTGTTTGATATTGTTTGACTGAATGAAGAAAATTGATGAATACAGTGCTCAGTAAGTTGCCATGGCGTAAGCATGCCTTTCCTATTAGCCATACATGATTTCATGTTAACAGAATGTCTTGATTGATCAGGTTATGGGTTTTAGTGGTCTGCTTTCCGAATCATGAAACATTAATAACATATTCAGTAGAATAATTTGGCTGTTGTAGAATGATTAAAGCAGCAGACAGAGAGGGAAGATCTTTTAGGAATTTTGACTGTTTAAAGATGGAGTATATTTAATTTAGGATTTAATTTTCTAATGTAATTTTAGTCTGAGTCATTTATCGTTAGTGTTGATTAATACAAAGTGGCCTTCTTATCTGTAGATAAAAAATCTAGGCCATGTAGATTATAAAATCAGGGTTCTTTTCAAGTCTGGAAAAGAAGAAATTATCTGTTTCTTTCAAGAAACAAAAATAATTTATGGTATTTTCCAGGTCTGTGTGAAAAAAGCAAAATGGCCTTTTGAAAAATACAATGATGCTATTTCTTTAGACGCTTCCTTCTCATGTCTGTCTGCACTTTTGGTCTCCTATTATCATTTTCTCCCCTATAATTCTTTCTATCCTTCTTACCTCTCTGCCTTGTCTTGCCTCCTCTCCTTCTTTTTCTTTTCTCCCCCTTTTTTCTTGTGATTTTTTTCTTCCCTTTTTTCATTGTACCATTCCTTTCAACCCAACTTTGGTTTCTTTTTTGTTCTATTTTAGTCATGTCCTTGTCTTCCATTTTTTTCCTGTATTTCTACCCTTTCCTTGTTTTTCACCCTCTCTGTTTCCATTATTCCTTCGTTACACAGCCATTTTTGCTATAGATTCAGAGTAAGTTTTAATATTTAGTTTTAAAGTGAATGGAAATGAATGAGAAATATTGAAGATGTCTTGGTGGGTCTAACCTTTTAGGGAAAACTTGTTGTTGGAGCCAAGAGAAATAACAAACATCTGTAATAAACACCTCATTAGTGCTGTGATGATTTCCCACTTTAATTCATTAAGGAAGACCAGCTTTTGTATTCTTATCCAAAGACATTAATTCTGTTAAGGAGATGATATAGGATCAGCTAGAACACAGCGTAGTGTTATTAGTTGTTTCTATAGGTATCAGACTCGACACAAACCTACCACCTCACTCCTGCAGCGTGTTTCAACACATCTGCCTCATCTTTATGCAAAATTAAGATTGTTCTTCAATATAGGTTGTTTGGATTTCATGATATCAAAGTATTGAATTCATAGATCTAAAACAAAATAGGGTACTAGATGATTTTATTACAACTAAGTGATGACATGCAAACTTAGTGTTAAGATTTGTTAATATAGGTGATAAGTGGCTTGTAAATTGGATTTGAAGATGTTTTCCTCCTGGAACTGTTTAGAAGACAGCAGAACTGGTTTTTAATCTGTGAATATTTCAGAAGTAGTATTTATTCAGCCCTCTACAGAAACAGATAGGGGAGGGGCAGCTTTGGGAAAACCCTAGGAATCACTTGTGGGGGCAAAACTGTAGTGGTTTGGAAACTTGTTAAGATGTTGTCACGTCTAGAAACTGGTAACCAGTGTATAGTCATAAACGTATTACTGTGAATGGCTGGAAATTTAATAGCTGATGTTTCAGACATGTCTACTCAGACAGCTGGAGGTCTGAGCCATATGATAGGAGCTGAGTGGACACAGCGGCTCACGTGACACCAACAGGAAGAAGTCAGATTTTTCCTGTGATTGTAAAACGTAACAAAACATTGTTACAGATAATATTGACTTATTGGGTCAGTACAATGATTTTCATGGCTTTTAATATATTTTTCAAAGCTGTGCACATTGAAAATGGGCTGTAATAAAAAAAAAAGCCAAAACAAAACATGGATCAACAACTCGCACCATCATAGGCTAAAAATATCGGGCCTTTCTTAATATTACTGAACAATATGAATATGGTTGAATTACCGGACCTATTACCTTTCTTATCACAGTATTTCTACTAATGGTTAGTGTTTTACTTCCTCCTACAGTCAGTCATTCTCCACAGAGGTCAAAGGTCAGGGTGGAACTCTTTCAAACGTTTGTCCTTAAAGTGTAAGATTCATTGCCTTTCTCAAGGACCCCTCACCAGATCAAACCACCGCTCTGAGGGCCTTGACTGTAGTTATTCCAAGCACACTAGGCCACCTAGCTGCCCTTGCTTGTCTGATCCTCTTTAGACTATGTTAACATGGTGTGTTTTTTTTCCCCCTCCCCTCAGACCCTGTACCTGTGCTGGAGCTGGCTCAGCAGCTGCAGCTGAAGCTCCAGAGGATGCACGACATTGAGACAGAGAACACCAAGCTGCGAGAGACACTGGAGGACTACAACAAAGAGTTTGCAGAAGTTAAAAACCAAGGTTAGAGCGGAATTAATGGAAAGGATATAATTTGCTTTGAGGTGATAATTTAGTAGCCAAAAACCTGTCCAAGTCATTCTCCTAACTCACACTATGCTGGGGAGCTCAATACAGAAGGCCCGTTTACAAACAGTTTAAATGTTTAAATCATAATTTATCTGCTTAATGTACCTTTTTTTTTTAAGTGTCTGTCGTCTGAAAATCAGTATATATGTCTGTTTTAGTGGGGAATGTTAGCCTCGTGGTTCTTTTTTATGTTATTTACAGCTATTGAAAAAGGTAGATTTTCCAGAAAGTTTTGATATCTTGCAGAAATTTTGATCCACAGGAGCCTAGATGTATGTCAGGTTTAGTCTGTAGAACAGTTTTGCACAGAGATACCATGGTTATTAAGGCAGGTATTGAAACACTCAGGTGCCATTCCTGCTATGAAAGGAAATAAGCATCTCCATAAAGCCTGTCAGCCTGGTGCAGCCTACACTTTCCTGGTGGATGGCTGAAGGGATTTGGATTTGATAAAACACAATGAATCACAACAAGCACCAAAAATCATCAGCAGCTATGAAAACTACACATTGGACCTCTACCAGCTCCTCTTCTGTCCTCTTGCCCCTTGGTTTCCTAATTAAATACAACAATAATTAATCTAAATGGCACTTAAGACTATTCTGCATAAATCTGTAGCTGCCTCTAGAGTGACCTAACACAGAGACTTGAGTCGATGGAGTCTCTTGTCTTTGATAAAGCCGGAGTTCCATCATATCTGTGAATTTTTTTCCTACCACTTTTTCTTCCACTAAACTTTCCATTTATATATCTGGAAGCATCACTAAAAAGGCAGCTACTTTACCAGAGGCCTCTTGTGACGGCTCTCAAGTCCAGCTTTTCCTCCATGATGTTGTAGGCTAAACCCAATATTTCTGCACTAAAAGTTTCTTTGCTGCTCAGATGGGATTTTCTAATTTTCTAAGACATTTCCTTTTAGATTTTCTTTATATCTAAACCATAATCATCAGAAATATATGAATTTAAAGCTTAAACATCTACAACTCATTCAGACGCAGTTGATCAAAGGTTGAGTTGCTTTCATGATGCAGTTTTTAAATATCCTTTTTTTTTTTAAATCATATTTTTGTCAAAGCCCGTTTTTGCACATTTTAAAGCGTGATTAAAGAACTTTTTTGCTATTTATATTAGCTGCACATGTAAAAGAAATCTGTAGTTCGAAAATAAGACATCAAAACAAATTCTAGGGTTAGGTCCTTATTTGAACATGTTTAATGACTCATTCATATTTCAGATACAGAATATGTACAAGGTTTTACATTTTCAAATAGGTTTTAAAGAGGGAGGAAAACCAGGCCGAGGCTTATGAATAAAAGACGACAGGCTACCTCAGGGTAGAGAAAGATGGAATAACTGACAAAGAAAGCGGAGAGATGAGCGTAAAGTGGTAATAAAAGGGCTGCAACTTCAGTCAAAAAGGTGGAGTGAGCAAGCGAGAGGGGAATGTTTTGGAATCCCCCCTTTTTTTTTTCCTCAGCGAGAGTTAATTGGAACAGCTCGATAACGGCAGGGTTCCATTCCGCCATTGATTTTCCTGTTCCCTCATCCTTTATCCCTCCTTCCCACCTCAATAGATGGTGGGGGATATTTAAACCCCAAAACACACCGTGGAACTCCCAGTCCTGCTAAAACACACACGTGGAGCCCGCACACATGCACGAGGTGCACGGAGAGCAGAGGCCATTGATCCCCGCAACCTAAATGTTTAAAGTTCAGTTAAGCAGTTAAGGGGTAAGAGGGCTCTAAGGGGACTCTCCTATATTGATTATATGTCAGAGCAGTGAGACTGTAGTTTAAATCACACACACATACACAGTGCTAAGAGCCCTCAGTCAAAGGCAGCATTGCTTTATATCTTGGTCTTTCTCACTTATTTCTCTCCCTGAGAAACGCACACAAACACTGAGGCCTGTTTATTTCTCCAGTTGTGTTAGATTTATTTCAGGCTGCCCCGTACAGAACCCGGCCGTCAGCAGGTTATGGGATTTCAGTTCTAATGCAGCCCTAACGAAGACAACATATCTGCTGCCGGGGAGCGCTGAATATTCAGTACAGGACACGGATGTAAAGATTAGGCTGGAGCCACGGGGGCTACAGTCTGGGTCTGTGCTGACAGAGGAAGAATTTGGGATATGAAAGGCTGTTCCTTAAAGGTCAAACTGCCCCCATCAAACTCATCATGGTCACTGCTGCCATTTATCACCCAAAGAAAACATTTTTTTTGTATTTTTCTGTTTTAATTTTCCGTTTCTGTTATAATTCTGCTCTGATCTATTTTCTTTAGAGGTTACCATCAAGGCCTTGAAGGAGAAGATCCGTGAATATGAGCAGACTCTGAAGAACCAAGCTGAGAACCTGGCCCAGGAGAAGCAGCTCCAGCTACATAACGACTATGCAGAGAAGGAGAGGTATGATGAGACCGTTTGTGGTCTCTGTGGGAGTGGGTTTCAAACTCACTACCCCAGGATTCCAAGCTCTATGCCCTAACCAGTGGGCTGCCACTCTTAACTCTAAACTGATGACTATAGTTTAAATTATCTTATAATTTGACCAGGTTGTTTGAAATAGTTTTTGTTAGCAGTGGCTGTTCTATCAAATCCTGTATATATGAAGTGACTTGATCTAAAACAGGTTGCCTTTTTAGGAACACTGATTTTTATGTTTTTATTCCACTGTTCAGTCCATTTGTTTTTTTTAAAGTCCTTTTAATGAGAAGTGTGATTAAAAAAAGCTGCAGCGGTTAATGTTTTCTCTGGTCGTATCGAGCAGCGCTAATCTGCCCCAGCCTATTTCCGAGTTTATACTGTGCAACATGTTGGGACTATTTAAAAGATATTTTCCAGTCAAATCATTTGAGCTTTTCTGGTTTAATTTGAAGTGCTTAGATGGAAATTATTTTGTAATTAAAAACCTTCCATATTAAATGATAAATCCAGTCAAATAGACAAATCTCTGCTCCACAAAAATATTGAATACTTAAAGTGGCTGAGGAATAAAAAGCTTTAAAGTGCTACTGAAAAATGTATGAAGAGCTTTGCTGCATTTCCCAATAAAAGAATGGCATTAAAAAAAGCATTTCCTTGGAGGGACAGCGTTAATGTAAAGACAATTAAACTAATTGAGATGTTGGGAGGGTCATTTTATCTTGAATAACATCTGGTGAGGTTTCCTTTACCTCGCCTGTTAATCACTGGTAGTAAGCTGATACCCAGATCATGTTATCTGTAATCGTTCAACATGGAAATAAACTCTGTGGTTCAATCTAAACTGGTGTAATAAACAGCTGACTGATTCATCTGAACATTTAATATATTCTGTAAAATATCTTCTCATATAATAAGCTCTATAAGACTCATATGTTCCGTTTGTCAATCATCTTGTTTACTTTCTGAAGGTGTTTTAAAGATTTCAAGACTTCCAGTCGAAGATCAATTGTCCAGCTGCATTTCCTGTACGTCAGGGTTTTATAGGCCCCTTCCTGTCTGCAGAGAGCTGACTTCCTGTGTCTGAGAGGGCTAGTAAATGGATGGCACCTCCTGATGCATTTTATCCTGCAAAAGAGAGAGGCAGAGATGAAAGGCTGAAGTACAGGGTAGAAAAATAGAGATGACAGGACAGACAGATTGGCGGAGGAGGGGGGGGGATCAAAGGGTGTCATAAAGGCCATATTTGTGCTGGATTATTGATGTTTTTACACACAGCGGCAATTTCTCAGCAGAACCCAACTTTTTTTATGTGCTAAGAATGAATCTATTTTATCCCTGTGGTTTCCTCCCCCCCACCCTTTCTGACTCAGCTCTCCTCCCCCCCCCCCGGGTGCAGCATGCCCCAGTGGCCAGACATTCCTGCCTAATAGGGCTGCTTAATGAGGAGTGGGTTGTGTTGTGGAAGATTTTAGGGGTGGGAGGGGGGCTTCAGAAATGGTGGGAAAATAGAGAATGGATGCATTTTCCACCAAGTGTGAACCCAAGAATTACTGACTCACTATCTTTTAACTGTGATTTTTTTGCTTCCTGCTCTCTTTTTCACACCTCTTTAGGAAACTCCAGGAGAGTCAGGACTCCATGTCTTCAAGGTTGAAAGAGGCTGAACAGAAGGCCCAGTCCCTGCAGACAGGTACCAGCCAGACTATTCTTCAGATTACAAACACAGGGAGGGGAGGGGTGCTTAGTTTTAAATTCACATTTAAAAAGAGAACTTTTTCTTAAGACTGTGGAGAATTCTGTCCTCCTCCTTGGGTTTCCCATATTTTAAATAAAAAGTTTCAGATTTCTGACAAATCGTATTTCACTTCCACTTACAACTACCATACAGGAGCATTTAAAGGACTAATCGTGTTAGTAGTAGTTTAATTGATTTCACCATGGACAGCAAGCCACGAAGGATACAGTAGCTCTAACACAATTTTATTACTTTTAAACAATTGATTGGAGTTAAGATTTTCCAGCATCCTATAGATTTCCTGTAACAGATGGAAGCTCAAAAGGAGCAGTGTAGCTGTACAATATTCAGCCTTCCTGTTATCTGCTGTAAGTCGCACTCTCTCTTGCTCTATCAATGTCTGAATGAGCAGCACCAATCTCTCCTTGTATAATTTTTCATTCACAAGCCAATTCTCTTTTTAATGCTGCTTGTTTCTATTTTTGACTGTTTGTTGTTGGCAGAGGTTAAAGTTCATGAATCAAAAGGCAAATGCCTCTCCTAATTTATTAGTGTCTTTTATTTGTGTATTTTTTTAATTCCCCATACACAGTTCTTTTTCTATCTTTTCCAGCACTTGAAGCAACTCAGGCGGAGCTCTTTGATTTGAAGACAAAGTATGACGAGGAATCCACAGCAAAGTATGTGTCTTTGTGATCTACTCATGTGTTTACGGGTCGACTTTTCCCCTTTGGCTCCCTCCATATTCTGCTCTTGACATAATCCTCCTGTTTTAGTGAATCTCCCTCCCTGGAAACTCCCCCTGCTCTCCCCTAACAGCTGGAATGTCTCCCACAACGCTCAACAGCCTCCAAATCCCAGCATTACCCGCTCACAGTAAATACTGAGAGGGATTGTAATGTATTTTGCAGATTCGGCAGAGCATCAAAATAGGTTTATATTTTTACTGCGTAGTTTAAAGTGCTCTGTATGAGTTGTCCTTTTCAACCAAGAGAGGAAGCACAAGCCATGAGTTTTAGTTCTTTTTTTCTTTTTTTTTCTTTGCAGGACCTGAAAGACATGTTAGCATCAAGTACTCAAGCTCTGTGCATCTATCATTATTGATCTAATAGTGATAGACAAGGAGAAAACGGCCCTTCCATGTCTGCACTCTGCACTGACAGACTCTTTAGTGTTTGAAGATTACTTATGGGAACTAAAACCCCTCTGGGACCAAAATGTCAGCCAGAAAGTTGAAAAATTATGTTAATGGGAAAATCTTATACAAAAAGACCTGCAAAGTATGGAAGGCACAGCTAAATTAAATCCAGTGTAGAGAATCAACTTTCACTGTAACCTGAGAACACTATATGGAGAAGTTGTATAGGATTAGCTGATAATATTGTTTAGCATAATTCCATGGGGAAACATGGTGGTGGCAGCATGATGCTGATGGTGTTAGGGTGTTATTCTGGCAGTACTAGAACGATAGGTTGTCTCCTGCTACTAGAGATGCGTGCCTCTATCATTGATTTCCTAGCAGTAGGCTGGATGAGAACAGAAGCTTTTTCATGTCTGCGCTCCACACTGCAAAGTGGCACTTTATGGCATTCACACTCCTCAGTCTCTCAGGGTTACTGGTGGGAACCAGAACCTCTCCAGCATCCGGACTTCTTTCAGAAAGCTGAAAAATAATATTTGTTGGTAGGGGGAAGAGAAAAAAAAGTGAGAACTTTATTGTTTTATTGATCATTGCTGCACCACAGGAAAATGTGGCACTTTTCTCCCAAGTCCCTCTCTAAGTAGGAGTCTGGTAATGAAACCGTCAAGGACGTCCTGCATGCATGCATAAACTAGAGCCCAGAATCAGCCTGGCTTTTAAAAGCTGCCGTTTACTCTGCCCCTTAGACTCGCTGTGTCTCTCCATTACCACAGTTGTTAAATTGATTGGCTGTTAAAAACAGATCGATTCTTCCTCCGAATATTTTTTTCTTTCCTCCCTTTTTTTTTCTTTCCACCCACACTTTTATCTTCCAGACATGTGTGTTTGCGGTAGCGGAAAGGCCATATAAAGACACCCCAATGCGTCGTAGAGACGCTAATCAATACTTATTGTTTATCGGTTGTTTTTATACTTCTCTAACATGGCTTATCTACTTTCTTAAAAAAACTCCCTTCTTTTCCCAGTTCTTCCTTTCATGTCAGACGCGAATCATCTTAAAAGGATGCCTATAGTCATCCCCATTTGCTTACAGAAGCTAATAAGCACATGCCCGCCCACATCCACACATGCACTCACATTAAAGTATACACACACACACTCGCTCACTCACTCACTCATTCGTGAGCCTCAGGCAGTCAGGGTCCTTGACTATGTGTCGTGCTGTGATCTGAAATTTTAATGCAACGCTTTAAAGCGCACACAAACCCTCTTCAACCCTGCTCCCTCCCAGTCCTCGGAGTCCTCCCCCCCTGTCCGTTTACTGCTTGGCTGAGCAAATCGCCACTGTTTGGCTGAACAAAACTTTTAACCCTTTAACTGAGTCTGCTTGTGCACCAATGTCATTCATATCATGCCTACACACACACACTCAGAGACAAACATTCGTTCACCGTGTAAACTTCCCATTGAGGAGGACTTTGCTTGACATAATCCGACCCCCTCATCTCTTGCTTGGTTTAGGTAATCTGCCTTTTAAACACACACACACACACACACACACCGATGACGCACCATGAGAAGCTGGTTGACGTTGCAGCGTGTGTGTGTGTGCGCGTCCATCAGCAGGAGGCAGGCCTGTAGATGTACCACCAGCGCTGCTAGGGTTTGGCCAGACGCGTTTTAATCGTTTAGTCCTCGTTAAAGATTAATGATTTATTGATTTCCAAGCCCACCGGATGTTTTAAGAGACTGAATGTCTGCAGATTTCTATAAATGTTTCCTAATATTGTATACAAAATTGTTTTTTCTGTGTGTCCATTTCAAGCACCCACAAACATAAAATGGCGCAAGGATACGCTCAAACACACACAGACATACTCGCATCTCGCTCCGTTTTAAGCCTCCCTGGAATCCCTAAGGTAACATGCTGTGAAAATGCAATGTGGAGAAAGCCAAGGAAAGAAAAGAAATTGAGTGATGAAAGCTGGGGGGCAAAAAAAAAAAATAAGAAAGCCAGGGGGCTGGAGGCCTCGGTGAGGAAGACGGGATAAGAGTGTGATAGAGAAGGGGAAATGAAAATCTAAATCAGGGGAATATCCTGCTGGCACAGAGGAAGAGAGGGCGATAGATGAGAGAGGGGAGGAGGAGGGGAGTAGATGAAACGGGGTAAAAACTGGAAGGGAACGGTTAAGGGAGGGAAGACTAGAGGCAGGCTGAGGGTGGAAGAGAAAAGGAGCAGTTGAGTGAAGAGCAGGACAGAAGATAAGAGATGAAACGGCCTGTGTGAGATGGAGGGAGAGCAGTCGAGGCTCTGAGGCTCCGGGTTCCTTTCAGAAGTCCTACTCCAGTGTCACCGGGTGCACCCGCTGGCTTTCATGGCACCAAAGTCGGGTCTAATGGGTCGTTCTGGGTTCTGTTTGTCATTTAGAATGCAACTCTGTAGGTGCTTTATAGCGCCTCCTTGTGGCTGTAGCATTAAGCTTTATGTTTACGTTTTGACAGCAATGAACCGTACTCTGTCACCCTCTTTTATTGTTCAGTGTTTGATGAATTAATTCCCCCTGGGTGCATTGGCAGGCCATGGGCAGTTCCTGCCCTGCTCAGCCACTGACTGACTGTTATCATGATATGCTGAAAATCCCTTCCCTGTGATCTGCTTTGGCCCTCAGCCTCTAGCTTTGCCTTTATAATTCCCAAATACAGCCAAATCCAAAGGTTATTTAGGAAGACTTTGTGCATCTGTACTTTGATTAAACGATAACATTTGGAGCAGGAGCCGCGCTGTATTTGGGTTGCATTACCACCCATAAACGCTCTCCATTACAAGCTTTTCCAGCTCCGTGGCTCCCTGACCTTCCGTGTGCACGTGCAGGGATACGTGCTCAGTACGCACATGGGCTTCACAGTATAGCTTAAGATGGGATAAAAGCTGTTAAGGTAGCACACCATTATGTTGCCCAAACACACACCAGATCCTTTCAACTATTAAGGAAAGAATAAAAGCAGAGTGAAAAGCTCTCCCACCCACATCTGATTCCTTTTGCTGCATCGCCCGTGGCACAATGTTGACCTAATATCAACTGTGTCTGTTTTGTTAAACGCATTCAAATCAGTTGTACGCAAGCCTATGGGACATAGCGCTGTTTCGCATACTGTGACACACAAATACAAAAGCTGCGTGGGCTGTTGGGTTCACTATCAAAAGATTGCAGTCAAATCAAAAGGTCCTAATGGAGGCAGCGGTGCACATATGTGCTCACATCTTTGCTCTCTCTGCCGCTCATGCGTTCTCATCGATGTCTTAAATAACCGTGGCTACATATAGCATCTTTCTGCCACCACTTCTGATGTCTTTAATTTCAATCTTTTCTACCTTGCATTGCAAAAGTATTCACACCCTCATTTTTTTCTTGTTCCAGGCTCTTTCTGTTTGGTAAAATTCAGAAATAGGTCCTCATGTAGTGGATAACTGGGAAGAAGAACTTTTTATAATATACATCAATTGAAAAACTAGGAAAAAGTGTGCAGAGGGAGAATATTTACTATTAAAGAGTAGGGTTGTCAAAAGTATCGATACTCAAAAAAGTATCGATACTGAAATGTTGTATCCGGATACAATACTCATTTTCAAAAGTATCGAGTACCAGTCGCACCTAAACAGTCATTCATCTAAAGTGCAGAAATAGAGGAAAATGCACTTTTTAATTTTGTAAGTTTTTATCAAGCTTGCTAAATACTGTGCACAGCAAACAACCTCAAAATGTTGTTCTTATTGTTTATTGTATTTATTTATTTATAGTATTTTAATTATTAATCAAAATATTTCTGTTGAAATGTTATCCTTGTGGTATCGAAAATGGTATCGAGTATCGAATATTTTCCTTAGTATTGGTATCGAGTTGAAACGTTTAGTATCGTGACAACCCTATTAAAGAGGCCTTGTCCTAAATTGTACAGCAGGATATGTACTAGAATGAGTCAGATAAAAAGATGATCCCATGTTAAAGTGGCCTAATCAAACTGTTCCTTAATCAGAATTTTTGGTCTGCAGCACAGACCCTCTCCAGTCTGATTAAGATTAGTTTCCCAAAGAAGGATGGAATATTTTGTCCTTAAATGTGGAAAGATTGTAGAGATGCATCTAAGACGAAGATCACCTAAAGGAACAGAGAAGACAGAAGGAAGAAATGTACTATTACCCAGCCACACATCGATGTGATCCTTAAGGTGAAAAGTACAGGGGATTAAAAAAACCACAAACCTGGATGTATGTTCTCCAGAGAGTGCATTCCTGGGCTGTCTTCTTTTCTATGATTATTGTTCATTATTATTAAGCAGAAAATCAATTCAGAGTTTAAACATAAGATACATCCTGTATGTGCATTATTCCCATATCTCCCCACCATTTACATTTGTATTCATATCTGTATTACCTTATGGAAAATTCAGAACCATTTTTTTCCCAGGATCCATTGAGATCTATTATTGCACAGATGTATTCTTGCTATCTGACCTCTAGCAAGTGAGAGGTGAACCTTGGCCTCCATCCAGACCATTAGTCAGACACAATCACACAGCTTCATAGCAGATTAGTCTGCTGTATTAGGACTTAGAGCTCTATTAATGTAATCCCTCTGTTTTAGTGTGGCCCTGGTTTAGGGGCTTACGTGTGCACGCTGACACGCATTCACTTGTACAATTAAAAACATGTATGCACGCACGCACAAATGCAAGCTGTTTGAGTAATGGAGTCCACTATCGGTGGATTAAGGTGAAATCTAGACAGGAGCTAAATGGAGGCAGAATTTGTGTGCAAAATGTTCCCTTATTTCCTGGAATCTTTTTTTTTCTGTTTCCCTATAAGCTCTGCTTGTTTGTCTTTAAAGGCTGTCTATTTATGTTCTTCCTTAGATTAATCAGAACTATCTCTTCCAGGGCTGACGAGATAGAGATGGTGATGACAGACTTGGAAAGAGCCAATCAGGTAATTCAGCCAGTATCAGACTAATCTATCTTCTGTCACACGCGGAGATCAGACTTTCTACTTAATTTGTAGAGTCAGTCTCTAAATAAATGTTCAGTTAAACGGTTGTTTCATATATTTCTAGCAGCAAGTGACCAGAGGTTTGACCTTGGGGAAAAAAGAAGGGGGGGAAAAAAATAGAAAAATTAGATTTCACTGTTATTCTAAAGTTTTCAAAGAGAATAGATTTGGGAGGATATTTGTTTCCAGAGCAAAAAAAAAAAAACAAAAGAAAAAAGTTAATTCCAGACTTGACTAGAACATTTAAAGCTGTTGTTAAACTATTTTATGCAGTGTTTGTTCTAATACACCATCTATCATGGTGTTATGAAAAATATTGACATACTCACTTTTGAAAATACTTATGAATCTAAAAGTATGCATTTAAAAGAACTTAAGTATTGAACAATACAATAAAGATTTTTTTAATATCAGTACCTTTGTGTCTAATTTTCAGTCATTTTAAAAAACCTTATAACATTCAGAAACCACCTGATGTACTGAGGCATTGAACGACCTTGACCCATTTCTAAACCACCTGTAAAATAATAAAACATTACTTAAGATCCCAAAAATTTTTTTATTCTTTTATACCCATTTAGTCACTTACCAGTGCTATCATGACCATTGTAGATCATCTATAATGAACTGATCTATAGAAAATGTTTCCAGCTTTAAGAAGCTCTCAGCATCACTCTCAGAATTTACTTAAATATACTAATATGTTTAGATCATTAACCATCATTGCAAAAATGACTCTAGTTATTATCTTTAGTTGTGTCTGTATAAAATGTAGAGCTGTAGAATGGGAACTTTACCATAAAAAATGGTAACAAGAAAACCTCCCTGTCTCAGTCTGAACATAATGAAGCAGCTAAAGAAAAAAAAAAAAAAAGATTATCTTAATCTTGTTTTCTAGAGTTAATAAAATTTGTATTAATCATATGATAAAAATTAGACTTTCGGGATAGATTTGCTGAATTAGTTTGTTGCTTGGGAAAAACATAATTTTGTATGTTTTGTAAAAATCTACAGGTCAGGATAAAAAAAATAAAAAAAAGTAAGCTTTTTAATTTGATTCATTCCTAGCTAAATAATGACATCTATAACTAATCTCTAGAAAAATAATTAACTGTAAACAGGTGGCAGCCTCTCAGTGGCTGAAACGGGTTTTATGCACTGCAATCTGGCATACTCTATTATGTCTGATTTGAAGATTTGGAAATAGAAGTGAAAAATGTCCTAATTTTGACATGATTATTTCAAACTTAACCGTCTGTGTAAATCTAAAGACGGTGAGCTAGGAATGTAACTGGTGTTAAAACAATAGAAATAAGTTAAAGTCATTGCTTCATTATGTGTAAACAGAGATGCTGCTATTTTAACTTCTTGTCTCCACCCTGAGACTTTTTGCTGCAGAAAATATTCACCTGAACTCGGGCTGTGTATAAATCTGCACCTGAAAATAGGCCCAAACAGGCACGCCATTTATTCTACTTTGAGCAGCACTTATGTCCAGCTGTTTTTGGGAATCATTAAGCTCTTTCTAAAAACGCACTGGGTATTTTTGACCGTTTTTATACCAAAAGAAAAAGCTATGCTGTTCCTTTTTTTTGTTTGTTTTTTCTGGTTTTCCCTATGAGTAAGAAAACATTTGTTTTTTCTGATTGCTTACCAGTTTAAAATGTAAAGATGATCCCTATAAAACATCAATGCATCAGAGTGAAGATTCCTGCCAGTTTTCCACACACCTACTGAGCTCATTGAGCTGCAGCAAAGCTCCCAGCAGTTGTTAATAACCCTTTGCTATCTGTTAATGTCATTGTGTTAACTTCCATTGTTAGGCTAAGAGTATGATTTTGGTTAAAGGGCCAGCACGGGCATGTAATGTTAATATTAGCCCAAAGGTTAACGCTCGAACTATAATGCCACTCTTGCACACACACACACGCTCTTGCACTCTTCACACTTTGGAGTTGAGGTTTACTGAGGGTGACAGCGTGGCCTACAGCTTAGTCAGACTTTTTAGAAGCTTTTACAAGAAGAAAATGGAAAACAGGACTTTTTTTGTTTTGTTTTTGTCTGGACTAGCACTTTAACTCCCACCCAGTCAATAACAGCTCTCAAGATGGTTGCAATTAGGGACGCTGTGAGATCGGCTCCCTGTAAGTCCTAATGATGGCGAGTTGGCCGGCGTAGCAGATGATTCTAGACCGGAGCGTGGCCATGTGGTTCTGAATGTATGTCCATGCTTATTATTTCTGGTCTTTAGGGAAATATATGGTGATTTATTAAGGTAATATCAATTCTGTTGCTGTTTTACATTGTAAATATTCCCTGTGGTGTTATTGAACATTTGTTTGGGCTGTAAAGAGGGGGCCATTTCCTTTGTATACTAACGCTTCCCAGCATGATGGCAGATTGTGTAATGGAAAACCTTTATGCCTTAACTTTATTACCTTTGGCTCAATGTACGCTACAGGGATTTAGTTTTCTGCAGTGAAGTTAAAATCCTTTGGTTTTTATCAATAACTGTAAAGAAACCGAGGAAAAAATGACAGTGTGTACATTGGAGCTGGTGATGATCAGATACAATGGGGTTCAGAGTATAAAAAACACCTATCCTGACTCTCCCGTTTACATTTGTGTTTCTTTCCAGCGAGCAGAAGTGGCAGAGAGAGAGGCGGAGGTGCTCAGAGAGCAGCTGTCATCAACTAACCAATCCCAACAGCTCAGCAGTCCCACCAAGGCCGACCCTGACTCGGTAACCCACTTTCACTGCTTCTCTGATTGGATGGTAAAGAGCTGCTGATTGGCTTAAACTCCTTTAATGAACCTAGTGATTTGTGGCTGATATATTGTTTTATGCATATGTAGCCAGGGATGTTCAGAGCCGCTGGGGTTTTAGGAGTTATGCTGAATTTTATTTAATTGAGATGTATTGTATAATTAAATGAGTGGGGAGAAATGTTCCCATCATGTTTACCATGTTCTGTTTTACCGAGAAAATACAAATTCCTCATAAGAACATAAAGTGATCATAATTCATGTTGTTTCAGCGATTTATTCCTGCAGATTTTACAGGATAGCTGTATAGAACAAAGAATGGTTTAATCTCAGTTTGTTTGAACAACAAAACTGTTGATCTTTAGTAGTTATCCTCATATATTCCGCTATCGTATTTAGACTTAAGATGCCTAAACAAGCAGTGGTGGTTTTGGCGGGAATATGTTAACCTGCTGCCTTAAGGGCTGGTTATACTCCCGTAGCAATGTGTCGCAGTGAGGCTCTCTCAAATATTTTTTGATTTGAAGCGTGGTCTGCACTATGATATTCCATGCTGCGACAATGGAGGGACACAAGGGGGAAAAAGAGCAGGGTTCCAAGTGGAAAAAGGGTCCCAGAGTTCTTGCGCCACCTTTTCTAGCTGGTTTTCCGCAATGGGGGTCATACAAACAAAACAAGCTGGTAAGATATCAAACAGGAAATACGCATAGTGTGGAGCGGATGTAGATCCGACCAATATGTGACCTCCTGTCTGCAGCACTGTATTCTGTATACTGTTATTAGTATCACCAACTAGAACACTTTATAATCCTGAGATAATTGTTTTGTTTTATAAGAAGGCGACAAAATAAGATTAACTGTTTACAGATGAAACTGGGCATTAGATGTTTTCTAGATGGGTTTAAAGAAGCTTTAGATTTCATTATCTCAAGATGCGATTGTAAAAACCAATTACAACAAACTGAATTATCTCAACATAAGATAATAGAACTGATATTGCTTTAAATTGAGTCATAGGTTTCCTTATCTTCAGACCTTAATGTGGTCTTATACTGGGGTAGTAAAATAATCGCGGTTGCAATAACAACCCTATCTGGAGAACTAATCTCTATTACATCATTAAAGTCAGGCTGTATTTGCGTTTATAAGCTGAAATCAACGTACCAAATTGAGCAAGTAGCATTTACACATTTGATTAAAACCAGTTTAATGCAACTAACGTACTTAGACCACAAACACTACTGAGGTTATATGAAATGTTGGGAGTCATATATTTAATGATCCTTTGACTCCTGAAGGACTAGAGCATTTAATAGCTTGATTGAATAGACTGAATACCACAAAGAAAATGAAGCTACTATATGTATATGAATGTTTTGGCTTGTTAAGTTCCAAAATTACTTTTATTTGTAGTGGAGATTCTTTTGCAGTTAAGCGTTTTAGGCAGTTTCATGAAAAAGTTTTTTACTATCTGGCCCGTAGGATCAGGCACCAGAGGTGGCATCGCACTCCAACCTGGAGGCGGAGCTGAGGGCCAAAGAAAGGGAGACCGCCCAGCTGGTGGAGGATGTCCAGAGACTGCAGGCCAGCCTGACCAAACTCCGAGAGACCACCAGCTCCCAGATCTCCCAGCTGGAGCAGCAGCTTAGCAGCAAGTCTGCAGTTCTGAAGGTACCATTCAAACATCCACTTCCCCCTCTTTTATTTTTATTTTATACAGACTTCATCTCATTTTCCTTTTACCATGTTTGAGGTTTTTCTTCTTAAATAGCCCTCTGGAACGCATCCATGAAATATTACTTCTGTTTGTTACCCACAGGAACTGGAAGAGAAATTGGAAAAGCAAGCCGACTATGAGGAGGTCAAGAAAGAGCTAAGGTGGGGGTTAAAACAGGAGAGTCAGCAGAATTTCCTGCTGTAAATCTCTGGAGTCCAAATCAGAGGCTCGTCCTTCTTTTAGGTGTAGATAGCTACAGGATGCTAAGAGAAGAAATGTGTGCATGCCTGTCTTTTATTGAGCTAAAAGTTTGCTCTTTGATCTCCTCAGTATCCTCAAGACCATGGAGTTTGGAACCGATTCAGTGCAGGTAAAAAAAAATGGGTTAGGATAAAGTGATTGAACCTAAAGTAGTGGATTCAAACTCTTCTTTCTACCTTTGTTTTTGTTTTGTTTTTTAGGATTCTTCCAAACCACTGGAGGTGCTGCTGCTGGAGAAGAACCGGACTCTTCAATCAGAGAGCGCCGCTCTGCGCATCGCCAACACTGAGCTGAGCGGTAAGTTTTTGAGTCGACGTGAAGCAGTCAGTTCTCCAGTGTAAGATATTTGCAAAAGAGACCAGGAGAAGAATTTTTTTTTTTTTTTTTTTAAAGAGCTTCAGGTGAGGATGAGTAGGAATGGGAATATGCACACATGCAAATCAAAAAGTGGCATCAAACAGAACACATATGGGATCCATGTCTCAGATCTAAAACACCATCAAAAGTATAGAAAGAAGGAAAAAACAGCTGAATCACATTGTGAAATTCCTCCATTTAATTCAATACAATTTTTCCCATTGTTAGTTGTTCAAAGGAGCAGCTTTCATCAGGGGTTGTGACTTTTGATGCCACTTGATGTTTTATTTAAGTTCTTTTTCTCTGAGAATACTTCAACATTTATTTTTTTATTGGACGATTTATTGCCACAACCATCCATTTTAATTTTATTGGTTTAAAATTAAAACACATTGTCTAAAACTTTTGTTTTGCCACAAAGATGTCTCCATGTTGCTTACAGACAGTAATCTGTTGGGTCTAATAAATGCACCAGCAGGAGGTTCTACCTGAAAGGTAAAAAAACTACAAAGATTGTACAAAGGGGAAGAAATGAGGACACTGTTCTCTGTTCCTTACATCAGGACTCCTCTACCCTCTGCAAACTGTGTTTATGGGTTTGAAATGTCATTGCTTTAGGCTTGAATAGTTGAATAGCTTATAATTGATTAACATTCACAGTGAGAGGAGCTTACTGTCTTATTTGATCATGTTAAGTCTCAATGGTTATGCATTAAAAGGATTCTCCCAAGTACCAGAGATGAATTCTAGTCATTAAGACTAGAAAATATAGTTCTATGTCTGTATGTACTGGTGGTTGTAAAACAAATGTCTGTTTAAGGTAAAAAGAAAAAAGGGCTGAAAATCAAATGTACAAGTGTTAGTTTCATAAATAAGTGTGTGTGTTTTTTTTCTTGGAGAAAAGTTTTTTTTTTTTTTTTTTTTTTTTTTTACGAACTGAGAGACTCTGATATAGCATCTGCAGTGATGAAGACGAGGATGAAGAGGACTGGCCTGGTCTGTTGACTCCTTAAGGAAACCTTTCGAACCCAGCTCTGCTACCTCTGTGAGATAAAGTGAGCCCTGGCCTTGGGCCGGGCTAATCTGTTCACGTGGCACGGCGACAACTGTTTTGTTTGTCCTGTTTTCTTCCAGGCTGTGGCTTACAAGAAAGGTTAAAATCACAAATGCATGGGCACTTTGTCTGGGGGGGATTGGCAAAAAAGGAAAACACAAAGTTCACTATTCTAGAAAAAACTGGACTAAGATAACTTTCAACATTTTTTTTTTTTTTTGCTCTCTCTCGTTTTGGAACCCCCTTTTTTGTTGACTCCCCCATAATGCATTGTGTGTTTTGACCTTTCTTGTAGGGTCAGCCGGGAGAAAAGGGTCAGAAGAGTCCACAGCAAAGGAGGACGCCGTCAACAGCGAGCCTTCTTCCTCACCACCTCCTCCACCTCCCTCTCTCCCCTCCTCCTCTCAGCACCCATTATCTCGTACTCACATAGACCCTCTGAACACTGCCACCACCAGCAGCGAGACTCAACCCTTCACTCCTACGGGCATTGGACAAGAGCTCTACTCCCCCATGTTCCCCCTGGTTGGCAGTAAGATGGCTCTGAACTCCCTCATTCAGCGACAGCTGCTCCAGACGTTCTACTCCAAAGCCTTGCAGGACTCCTCCGGGATCCACAGTGGCGCTCTGCTGTTTACCCCCTTCACTCCGGCCCTCAGCTCCATCCCTACCTCCACCCCTGGCTCAGGGTCCGCCGCCATTCCCCTGGCAGCCAGCAGTCCCCAGCCCCCTCCGGCCAGTCCCGATATGGCTCCGGTCAACGGGAGCAGCACTGCGGGCAGCGCACCCTCCCCGTCGCCCAGCCACTCTGACGCCACCATGGGCAGCGTCCTAGACGGGGAGGACATGGACACAGCAGAGATTGCCCGGCAGGTGAAAGAGCAGCTGATCAAGCACAACATCGGCCAGCGGGTGTTTGGTCACTATGTGCTAGGACTGTCTCAGGGTTCAGTCAGCGAGATCCTGGCCAGACCCAAGCCCTGGAACAAGCTGACCATCCGGGGGAAGGAGCCCTTCCATAAGATGAGGCAGTTCCTCGCTGATGAGCAGAACATCCTGGCGCTGCGGAGCATTCAGGGACGACAGAGAGGTTAGTGTGCGTCTTTGGTGCACCTGTGCTTCCATGTTTGTGTGTCCTGTTAGTTGCCGTGTGTGAGTGCGTGTGTGTTCACAGCCCTGCACTGAGCTATCGATCAGCTTGTCAATACAGACTACCTTTTTTTTTTCTTCCTCTCTCTCTCTCCTGCCTCCTTTTCTGTCCCACACCTGTGTGCACTGAATGATTCCTGGTCACACACTGATCCCAAGAGCCTCTCCTAGCTATCGTGATCAATACAGAAACCTTTCACACATCAATAGTATTGATCGAAGGGAACTAGGAGGAAGGCAGGGGTACCGTTAACTGCGGGTAGATTCGATTAGCCCCGGCCTGCTTTTCTTAACGCATCAGGACATTTCTGATTGAAGGTGGCCTTAGTGGAACAAAAGTATTATTATTATTATTTTTAAAAATGAACCGGCACTTCGTCTGCCTCTGCTTTAGAGTCTGTTTCTGCTGTGCTTGGAGCAGAGGTTTAACTACCGCTTCCGCCACAGGTGGTAAAGATCAATGCATTTGCAGGTGCATCTCATTTCATATATAATACCATCCTGGAAAAGGTTTATCTCTGTTATAGAGTTCAAACATTATTTATTTAGATGATTTTGGCTCATAGACAACAAAAATGTAGAGTTCTAGGTTTTCTGGGAGTCTGACTTTTAGGTAAGTCTGATAATAATAGAAAACTAAAACCCATGTTTTGGTAAAAGTTCTTAACAATTTGAAACATAATGTTGTCTGACATTTCCTGGTAGATGGCAGCAGTGGGGAAGCTACACTCTGGATCTTAAAAGCTCTTTCTCTGGAGGCTTAATTTGCAAATGAAAAGCAAAATAAACTTGACATTTTTTCCTTCCACTTAACTTTGCTGCCATATTCTTGGATTACTGTGTAAATTGCCAGCTTGTTAGTAGTTACCTTTTCACAGCTTAGCTTTGTTGTTTAGGGTAAAAACTATTGATTGCAGTAGTATAGTTAAATATTGCAATAGTGGCCTAAGCATTTTGGTTTTAAAATATTTGTCCTCTGTGGACAGTAAAAATCCATCTAATTGACTGAATAGACCATTGGAAAGCAGTCATTTGAAGTTGCCACGTTGCACACAGTGATTACTGATGACTGTAATTTATTGTTCCAATCTATTCTTTTAAAAAACAAACACGTTTTAGTGCTTTTAGCTGTAAGCCATAATCATCTAAAATCACAAAAACAAGGAGTTGAAACGAGATCTGAATTTCTGAATTTTTTTTTGAATGATACACTAATTTATAGAGACGCACCTTTTGATGCAGGGTCCGTGGGATGGGACAAAGTGCAGGACGGTGTGCCGCACCCCATAGTCTAGCTGTTCAAAGGAAAGAAAGCAACACCAAAGTGCTGTAACATAGTGTGTGGTGTATTGTTTTTAACAGAGGGCTCAGGCCAGCCCCAGCTTAGCCGAGTGTTTCAGGACGCTCCGAAGCGGAGAGCCCACTCCGATACACCTTCACACACAGGTCTGTCCCCGTCCACATGCACAGATTCTGGCTCGTTGTGTCTGTGTGGCATGTTTGTGTTTGGGAGGGGGCGGGTGGGTTAAGCTGTATCAATGGTGTGTATGGGGTGTGTGTCGCCGTTTATTAACTGCGGGCAGGCATACAGTTATAAATATGCCTTGAAGGTTACCACATAGTTCCAGTGACTTGCGTCAGAGGAAAAACCAGCATGTGTATTTAAAGCTTTTTACTGGTAGTTGTTATTCTGTGGGGAGTATTTATTTGATGAAGTGTGCATGTGTGCGCTCCAAAGGGAGAAATGAAGGGACTCTCTCCCGTATTGTTGCTGTTCGTTCATTGTTAGCTCAACAGTGGGAATGCCAAGGGGGGGATGTGATGTGATATGCAGGCGCCTATTAATACTGAAAGAAAATCATCAAAAAGTTCATTTATAACAGTGGATTAATTCAAGGCAGTGATCTATTTCAGCTGTTTGTTCAATTTGATTTTGGCTTACAGCTGATGGAAATCCTCACTTCAGTTCTTCAGATAATTTTAGTGTTGAATAGAAGTTTAATAGAGATGTTTTGTGATGGCCTACGTGATCCTGGAGAAGAGACTCCCTCCACAAAGAGTACAAAACATGAAACTCTGCTGGTTAAAGAGGCGTCTGATCAGTAGAAATGATCGTAGAGTGCTACCACAGAGAGATATCCTGGATGTTTACTAAAGCTGGTCTGTTGGGTTATTTCAGTAGAAAAAGGATTGGATTTTCCAAAGTTCTGTTTTCAAATGAATCTTCTAAGTTTTTTTTTTTTTCTGTAGTCCTAAGGCAGAGTATGCCATGAAATCATAGATCAACTCGTGCTTCCCTCTCCTGACCCCTGATTTCATGTTCCAGCAGGACTTTGCACCTGCTCGCACAACCAGAAATATCACTACCTGCTTTAATGAGCATTGTATCCCTGTTCTGGACAACACTGCCATTAATTCCTGTAAAAGGAGCCCTGGCCAAATATAGAGTGCATACCATGCTGTACAGGGACAAATGTTTCAGTAGGCCCACTTTTTCTAAATTTTTTCTTTTCTTTGTGGCACTTCTGATTTCCTAAGATACTAAAATGTCAGGTTTTTATTTACTGTATTTCATAAAGGCTAAGAGGAATAAATGTTTGAAACGTATCAACCTGCGTTTTGTATAAAAGTTTTACTTTTAAATGTAAATTGCAGAGATAAATCAACTTTTTGATGATACTGTGACTTTTTGAGATGCATCTGTAGTGAGTATTTATTGTCCTTGTCGGCTGTTTGTTTTGCTCTGCTGGTCATTCGTCCTGTTTAACACACTTGTCGTCTCTTCCTGCTTCCCTTCCAGGTAACATCACCTCTCGCGTCCGCACCCCAGAGGCAGGCTCGGATGAAGCCATCAAGTCCATCCTGGAACAGGCCAAAAGAGAGCTGCAGGTGCAGAAAGCCGGTGAGTTCTAGTTTATTTCCTCTTCTCTAAGTCTGCCAGAGCGTTGAAGATGGACGTCATGTCTGTGTTTCTCCTGACGGCCCATTTCCTCTCCTTTAATAGACTTGTCCCACGCTCAGCCATCTTACACGGGACTTAAAGGAGGGGGTGGAGGAGGTATAGGGAGCGGAGGGGGCAGCGGATCAGACGAAGCCATCCGCTCCATCTTGGAGCAGGCACGTAGGGAGATGGAGGCTCAACAGGCTGCTTTGGAGCCCATCCTCAAAGCTTCGTCTGCGTCTTCCTCCTCTGCTTCTCTGTCTCAGAGGGACATCCTGGGCTCTTCTCTTACTGCCCCACTCCCACCTTACAACTCACTAGCTCTCTCCCTCAAGAAACCGCCAAGCTCCCACTTGTCCTCGCCTCCTTCCCCATCTCCAGTCCTGGACTTCAGCTCCGGTGGGAAGAGAGACGGCAGAGCTTCCTCAGGTATCGACATGTCGGCTGATGGAGGGTTCAGGTTGAGCCGCCCCTCTGAGGGTTCTGCTCGCCCCGGAAGCACTGTTGGAGGGGGTTACTGGAGAGAGCAGTGGTGGAGCAACATGCACTCCGACCACCGGCGGAGCTTATCCAGCCAGGTGGGCGAGGAAAACCACAACCAGGAGGACTCCAAAGAGGTGAGGACCAAGCCAAAGCAGAACACTTTGATCTTGACGCCTCTTCTAATCCAAAATTCACTGTTGAGGAAACTGTAGAGAGTTCAGGGTCTTCGTTTACCCATCTTTTTGTACCTATTTGTCCGTCTTTTACTCAAACTGTGTTATTTAGTTTCTGTCCATGCGACCCTCTTTCCCGGCTTCCACCTCTCTATCATTCCACCTCTCATCCAGATATCTATCCACCTAATATCCATCTATCCATTATCACTTTCCTCCTCCCATTTTTCTTTCCACTCATCTGTCCATTCATCAGTCTCTGGTCATCTGTACAGCAATTCATCATGCAGCCCATCAATCTATCATTCATCTATTCCTCTGGGTATCTCTTTTATCCACATCTCTGTCCATCTTTTTATCCCACAATCTATAACTCACCCAGCTATTCATCCATCTACTATTCTATCCATCCATTTAATCCTCTGTCTATCAGCCTATCTGATGTTTCCATCCTTCTCTACTCCTCCCTTGTTTAAGCCCTGACCACCACTCTTGTCTCAGAAGTGGACCTTAGGCTGGCATCCTGAATTTAGACTGAATTGCTCTTTAAAAATAGGAAAAAGGTGAGGGATGCTGTAAAGGGGTGGGCATGGCTGAGCTGTTCTTTTCTGTTGTGTCCCAGGGAATGCTGAGCGACAGTTTAACTCGACACAAACCTTGGAACAAGTTGAACCAGAGGAGCCGAGAGCCATCATACCTCCGTATGCAGACGTGGCTCAACGGGGACCAGGGGCAAAACGCACACATCCAGCAAGCTCAAAACCAAGGTAAACCAATCGGAACGCAGACCATCACCTGACATCCCCCTGATTAAAGCTAGTGGCTAGTTATTACTGTCAGCCTGTCACTCACCCTACCATCCTCCTCCTACCCAGCCCCCTTCCTTCTCCCACCATCCCCCCCATACCCGGTTCTGCGGCAGTGTCAGCCAGCAAGCTGCTGGTTTGTCATGTCGTAGACAAGTTAGTGTTGCAGCGCCAGATGGCAGCTCCGCATGTGTGTGTATGTGCGCGCGTGTCTCTTTTTCTCTCTGGGGGTGTAAACAGCAGCTAATGTACACTGACAGCTCCTCATGACTGCTCTCTTCCAGCCTGCTGAGCGGCACAGCAGTGCTACACAGGCACAGACAGGGAGATGAAGGAATGAGAGGAAGAAGCCAAAAAGCTTCAAACCCAAAACTTAAGCACCTTCTTTGCTTTCTAAAGGGAGTTAAATTAGCTGATGTGATTTGACTGAAGTCCCTTCCTCATCCCAGCAGGGAGGGGAGATTACTGTGTGTTTTCCCCCCTACATAATGTAACATGTCACCTAAACTGTATGATCTTTGTCACCCTGTCTGTTCCGCTCAAGCAGAGGGCACTCCCAAGACATCAGCAAGCTGCAGCCCCGCTCCCGAATCCCCGCTCAGCTCTGCAGAGGAGTCTGTTAACGGTCTCGCCGGGGATCCCCTCGCCTCGCAGTCCTCCAGCCTCAAGCCTCAGTCTGAGGATCCCTCAGGTGGGGAGTCTCAGCCGGGCACACCGCTGCCCCTACCGGGTCACTCCAGTCTCAGCATCCAGGAGATGGTAGCAATGTCTCCTGAGCTTGATACGTACGCCATCACCAAAAAGGTTAAGGAGGTGCTAACTGATAATAACCTTGGTAAGAAACAGAAACATTTTTTTTTTTTTTTTTGTTTTTTTACTGGTGTCAGATTAAAAATGATAAGAATTATGGATTTTATGTGAACTTCTCTGACAAATCTGAAGTGGTGCATAATTGTGAAAGTGAAAGGAAGATGAATTGTGCTTTTCAACATTTCTGACAACCAAAACCTGAGAATTCTAGTATACCTTAGTATTTAGCCTCAAATCAGTACTCCGTTGGAGACATTTTGATTTTACATTGAGTTTATACCTATTTTGTTTCACTCAGGTTAAAGACTTAATATTTTAATCTGGGCTTTGATTAGGCCTCTCTAAGACCATTTTGCTTTGATTGAAAGCATTTAATTGTAGTTCTGTATTTTTTTTTATAGACTCTGGGGGAAAAAAATACTTCAACTTCCTCCCTTTAACTGTCTGTTACGATGCTGTTTGTTCATTAATTGTTTTTATAAAACATCAGAGGCCTTCAGAGAACAGCTGGGTTTATACTGAGAAGAAATTAGCAGTTAGGGGACTCCATGTACCGATTTGGCAACATCTGGATTTTATTCATAGGTGTTAAAGAAAGTGATATTGAATATAAATACATGCCCCATGTTTGCATTTTTAAAGATGTTAAAAGCATGTAGGGTTTGGCTTCCTTTCACAGTTTTACTCTACTTTTGTGTTGGTCTGTCACATTAAGTCCTAATGAAACGCAGTGAAGGTTGTGGCAATTTGATGTTTAATATCCGTTTATGGTTTCCTCTCCAAGGTCAGCGACTGTTTGGGGAGACCATCCTGGGTCTGACTCAGGGTTCTGTCTCAGACCTGCTGGCCAGGCCTAAACCCTGGCACAAGCTGAGCCTGAAGGGAAGGGAGCCCTTTGTCCGGATGCAGCTTTGGCTCCAGGACCCACACAGTGTGGAGAAACTCATGGACATGAAACGCCTAGAGAAGAAAGGTGAGCAACAATAGCTCCATCAGTTTACCAAAAAAAAAAACAAGTACCTTTAAAACTTACAAACAAAAAGGTCACATAGATGTGGTCTTATCTGCTTTTATTTTTATAAATCCATTAAAGGAAACACACGATCCCGAACGCACACAATAGACACACTCCCCTTTGTGCAGGACAGCAGAGCATGTTGCGCAGATCACAGTCATCTTGGTGTGATGTCTGTACCAATCAGGACTGCAGACATCACACGCTGTATTCGATGTGACAGCTCGGGGACTGCCGCGGGGCTGCTTACTCACACTCATCAGCACTCCTCTTCATCATCGTCATCATCATAATAATCACCAGCGTCCATAGGCTTGTATTTTTTCCATCGTCCGTTAGTCTGTAGCCCTCTCTGTCAGCCCATCACGCCGTGTTATCCTTCGGTGGTGGGATTTGTTAGGAACTAACAGAATACACATGCTTGGACCTGCCTCTGGGACCATCCATCCAGGATCTGGTTATTCTTATCTTTCAGATCAGGAAGTGTTCTCTGCTCAGGCTCCTTTTAGTGTATTGACCAAAAAATAATTGAAAGAGCAGTGGGCAGTTGGTCGGGCCACCAGCGGAGCCCAGAGGAAAGACATAGACCTAATCTAGACTAACCGTATTTGACCTCTCGCTCTGCTGCTGCTTGCCTATAAGGCAGCACAGAACTTTTCAGAGAGCTCTAACCTTGCTCTGAGGGGTTTATTCCCCTGAAACACTAATATATCTGGCAGCATGTATCGGGGTTGGGAGAATGTCAACCTCATGCGAAGCTGCCATGAGCTGTTCATTTTCAGCTGCTGGTGCCTGGAGTAAACAGAGCTGCATGTTTTGCCTTGAAAGGGAAAGGATGCGTTCTGGTAAATATGCTTAGAAGAGTTGGAGCACCATCTAGTGGTACATCAGTGTACAGCAATTAACGTGCATCCAAACAGTTTTAACATTTTCTGATACTGGCTTTATTTTTCTACTCTTTGTTTTTCAATTCCACGATAAATCTAGAAATCTAAGAAACTAAAACCTTGACACAGGCGGGGACATGGTGGTACAGGTAGATTAATAAATCAACATTGTTTAAATGTTGTTTAAAGCTAGATAAGTGAGTTAGTTCTGTTTTGAACTCAAGCTTCTTCATTTAGCAAAAGTTAAATCTTGGTTCTGTTCAGATCTGGAGAAAATGACCCATCATTACCACACACATTTGGATTACTGTCACTCATTATAAAAAAACAGGGACCAATCTTATCTTCAGCATGTCCACATGGTTGAAAACGCTCAACTCTCAACGGGATGAGAGACAGCTGCCTGTATCTTATTGGATTGGTTTTTCTTTTATTATTTTTCCTAATTTTTAAAAGGCTTAGCCCTAGCTTACCTGCAAGATCGTTTACAGGACTGCACCATTTCTAGAACACTATAATCAAACAATAAACTATTGCTACAGGTTCCTAGAACCAGTTTGTAAAGGAAGAGGAGACAATGGATTTGTCATTGCTGCACTAAATATTCGGAACAACTTAACCCTCAAAATAAGATCTGCCCATAGTTTGGATCCTTTTAAATTCATCTTAAAGCTCATTTATATTCCTTTGCATTTAAAAAAGGCCTGACTCTGTACCCTGCCTGTCCTAATTGGTCTTAACTTTTATTTTTATCATGTTTTATTGGAATGTGCTTAATTCATCAATGGTTTTATGAAAACTGTACAAAACTGTGGTTCAGTTCCAGTCTTTCTTTAAAGTACTCTAAGTGAAATTGACAACATTACAATGGGATTTTGGCTGGTCAACTTAACCTCCCAGTAAAACCAATTTAGTTTTTTTTCTCTGTAGATAGATTAGAAATGCTAATGAAATTTTAGTTTTAAGGAGTTATTCATGTGAAAAATGATAAACAAAAATAGTTTTGTTAAAGCATACCTTTTCAGTAGCTTTATGATTTCAGACCCTCTTCTGTCCACGTTTACAAAGAAAGCTGCCTGTATTAAGGAGTTTTCTAATAGTACGCAAAACACAGAACTGCAGCACCTTCTGTTCCTCCGTTTAGCTCAGGCTCGTTCTTGACAAGGGTTATTTTTTACTTGTTTCACTCTACCTGGAGTTGCCATTGGTGTCTGAGTTGAGCTGGATGCCAGTCGCTTCGGTGTCCCCACAACATTGGACCCAATAACATGTTGATGTCACATCTGCAGAACAGAGCGGGAACTTCTGACCTGCAGTAAATTCAGAAAAATGGGCTACAGGCTTATAGATGCATTGGAGCAGAACTACTGAGGTTTCTGCTTTCCAAACAATATTTTAGTTGTAAAGGGCCAGATAAAAAGATGTTTTTCATTAAAAAGTTAGATAATGTCTCTTTAATGAAAGCGCAGTAATAATGTATTTGTATCAAACACAATTTAATTTAGGTTTGCGTTTCTTTTACGGTACCTTATTAAAGTTGCACCTTTTTACGTTTTTATCAAATGTGTTTCTATGATCCATTTTCTTCTGTTGTTTCAATTTCCAATGTTTTTCTGTCATCCAGCTTACATGAAAAGGCGGCTGAGCTCCCTGAGCGACGGCCATTCTGTGGACGGAGTTTTGTCGGGGCCCGATTACATGCAGGGCTCCCAGAGCCCGGGGGGCCAGCAGCAGCTGAAGAAGCCCAGGGTGGTCTTAGGCCCCGAGGAAAAGGAGGCCTTAAAGAAGGCATATCAGCAGAAGCCCTACCCTTCCCCTAAAACCATTGAGGAGCTGGCCTCCCAGCTCAACCTGAAGACCAGCACGGTCATCAACTGGTTTCATAATTACAGGTTAGTGCTCAGAGGAAAAACAACAGTTTTTAAATACGACACGCTGTCACCTAATGCTAGAATCAGATCGTACAGGGCTGCTATTTAATTTAACCTTCTGGGTTGAAATGTACATAAATATTTGGTTTAACCTCCCTAAGGTAAACTACAGGTTTCTCCCACATGTGTTGTTGCCATCAATAGACTTCTTCCATGGTCATGAATAGATGTTTGGAAATTTCTCCATTTGAAACTGCCCAGTTAGCTGGTTTTTTAAACAATTAACAATGTTTTATATCTAAGATTAGTGAAGCTTGACATCATCCTTCTTTATGTATTCTGAACCAAGATCAGACCTACATTTGACTTAAATGTCCTGTTTGACATTCCTGATGTGTCTAGCTTCTACTGTCTAACTGTAGTTTTAGCATTTGAAGGTATTTCTCTTTCATTGTTTTCTTTAACATTCAGGAAAAAGGTCCCACTACATTACGCTGCTTTGTTCATGGTGGTGCACTGTTCTTATGTTTCTTGGGGTAAAAAAAACTGTTTAAAAATGGAGCAACGGGCAAACATGAGGTTGCCTGACAGTTTAAAACCCAACCAATGTCAGCAAACCAGCTGCTTTAATTTAGCTCCTTCATTTCTGGTTTAAATGGGGATGAATGTCAAACCCAGAAGCTTGTTGGTGGCAACAAAACCTGATTGTTTGAGTTGAACCTGATTGTTTGAGTTGAAATCCTTTAGAGCATTGATTCCCAGAGTTTGGGGATTAATTATAGTCTTAAGGTCCTCTACAGAGATGAAACTAAATGACAGAAATAAGGAAGAAAGATATTTGTGTTTAAAGAAATTAAAATATCACTTTGAAATGAATAAAAACAAATACTTTTTGTTGATGCAGATTTTATTACTATTAGACCCATCTTTAATACATTTTATTAACTGATTTAAATAAAATAAAACTTTGGTTCACGAGTCCCTTCTAGTTCTGTTCTGTGGGTCAGAAACCAGATTGTTTGGGATATGTTCATTTTTTCACATTGAACATGTGTGGATCAAAGTCCAACTTATGCCCCAAATGTTTATGAAATGTAATTGTCCGACTTTGACTCTGGGTTGAACTTGTGTTTCTGCTCTAGGTCACGCATCCGAAGGGAGCTTTTCATAGAGGAGATCCAGGCAGCTGGAGGGATGGGGCCTGGGAGTGAGGGGGGATCTCCTTCTCTCCGTGGGTCCAAATCAGGAGAAGGGGACAGCTGTGACGGGACAGAGTCTGAGGGCACGGTTGATACCCGCCAGGGACTGGGCATGGAGGATCACAGAGGGGCATGCAAAGACCAAGGCATGGAGGTAGAGTCTGAGGCAGGCGGCTCTAATAACTCCCCCTCACAGTTAGACTGCACCACCTCAGGCTTAGCTGGGCCGGGCTCCAGCTGTGGACAAACTGGACTGGGCATCTTCAGCCTCACAGAGGCTTCCTCCACTAGCTCTGCCTCGAGTACAAACATCCCAGCCTCTGGCTCGGCCAGAAACCCCAGGGACAACAATCTGCGCAAGAAGAAGGCAGCCAATCTCAATAACATCATCCACAGGCTGGAGAAGGCTGCCAGTAAAGAGGACCCCTCAGAGTGGGAGTTCTAGCTCCCTCTGACCCCCTCCCTCATCCTTATCGTCTCATAACCTCACGACCTCTAACCTTGGACCCCTCCTGCTCAGTTTCAGTCGGAGAGTGGACACAGCCAAAGTCAAGCTCAGCAGCCATTTTTATTGCATAGAAGCTTTCCAAAAAAAAAAAAGGAAAGAAACAAAGAGTGGTTGGCAAAACCCTTAAGAAGAAGATTTTACTGAGTACGTAGAAGAACAAAATAAGAGATTTGTCTCTCCTGTTTTTTTGTTTTTTTTTTAAAACTGAGTTTTGTTTTTGTACTGAGAAAAAGCACTTAACCGTCCTGCTGGCCTCTGGCCCTGCTGTACCTCCCCTTATCACCAGCCACTGGTGCACCAGACTGGTTAGCCCTGAGCTGGGGTCTGACCTGCAGCTGGGGTTCGAACCTGAACTCAGTATCACAGGCAAGGCCTGACACAGCAGCTGTCACAGTGATAGACACTGATAGAGACAGAAACTCTCTTACAAGAACTCTCACTTTCTTAAAGGAGATTTTTTTTTCCTCTCTTCTTCTCACCTCCCAAGTGTCCACAAACCTCCCCTCACTCAGTGAGACGCCTCATTTTTTTCACACTGTAGAGTGACTGTTACAAACCCTTTGCCTTTTTCACTCACTGCGTGTGTGTTTGTACGTTAGGGGGTTGTGTCTGCGTGCACCTGTGCGTGTGTTTTAAGTGTGCGTGAGTCCGTATACACCTAAATGTGGTGCGTGTTCTTTTTCTCAGCAGCAGCATGTTTTTAAGTCGCTCCTACACTCTTCGGAGGGTAGAGGAAAGCCTGCTGGCTGAGCTGCCATGGTTACTGAAATAAGATGGATGAACTTTGACCTGTTCTGTCCCATATCCTGTCCTGCTGACAGCCATGTGATGGCCAGAAGGATCATTTTGAATTCCTCTCAAACATAGACGCTCATCTGAAGAGGAAGGAAGGAAGGAAGCACCTTTTCTATCTGCCTTCTTTTGACCCTTCTCTTCAGGATGAAGGATGATCTGTTTTTGATACTGCAATTTGGTTGCCAATAAGAGATTGCACAGTCTATCGACTCTAAAGAGTACAAAATAGGGAATTTTACCGAACATTTTTTTTTTAATTAGTACAAAACGACAGAAAAGAAGACAGTTAAGGAGTTTCTGTTAGAATAAAAGCTAAACGGATTAGAGTGGAATAATGTTGCGGTTTTTTTGGGTTCTTTTATTTTTAGATAAAACACAATGAATCCATGTAGTACTGTAGCTGTCTCACATGGTGTTGCTCTACGTGTGTCTCTTGTTTTCTTGGGTTGTGCACGTCACAGCTGTGCATCACTACCGAAAAGAAACTCTGGTCACAAACCTGTTTTTATAGGCCAAATCAGGAAGAGTGTGTGCGTAGGTGTGAGTGTGTGTGTATTTTTGTGTGCATTTATACTTGCCTGCATGTAAGTCAGGGTTGAGGTCAATTCACACAGTAAAGTTTAAAAAGTATATTATAATCCTTGACTGAAAAAAAGGAGGATTGGAGCACATTTTAAGTGCTGAACTCCATTATCTTGTTCTTTTTGCAGTTTTTATTTTTTTGTCAAAGTGAGTTCATCCCAACCCCTCCCCCTTCCTGTTTGTGAGCAGTCGCCCCCTCCCTGTTTTCTTCAGTCTATCCTGTATCCAGGGATAAATGTCTTTTTTTTTTTTGCATTGAATTCTACTGTAAACACTACAAACTTTAAGGCATATCACTCCCCCTCCCCGTCCTACACAAGCCCTCAGTGCCTGTCAGCCCACTGCCTCCCCCCCTTTGTGTGTGTGTGTGTGTTTATGTGCGCGCGCACGGACACATGCGTGCTCGTTTGCGAGCGACAGAGGAGCGTTTTTTCAAATGAGTGGGGTCATATTTCGTATATCTACTTGCACACACTACTAGTGCACAACTGACACCCTTCTTTAAGCTGTTTGATGCGTTACCATTGCATTAATCTTCTCACAAAGTAGTGTAATACTATGATTTACTGTAGCTTGGTTTTATTGCTATTTTTGCATTTATAGTTTGGTTTTTATTCTGCTTATTTATAGGTGCTGTATTTTTTTTCCATTTAATGTCTTATCATATGAGTTGTCTATTTTTTAAGGGATTATACTGTTCCTGAGGGCAAGTAACATTTTTATTATTAGACGTATAGACTGCCGGCAGTATTGGTTAATATTTACAAAGATGTACTAGTTCTCATTTGTTTGTATATTCATGAATCCTAAAGTTTAGTGTCATTTCAATAGCTTTGGAAATGTGTTTGCTTCACTTCATGCTCCCATAAGCATAAAAGCTCTTACCACAACTGTTATGCTCTTAAACTGCTAGCTAGAGAATCAAAGGACATATCAAGATCACTGAATATATGTTAGTCTGTTTATCTTCTATTCTGGGGTAATGATATTTTTATTTTTGTTTTGTTTTTTTTCCTTGGGCAAGCCCAACACTAACACTCAGCAGAGCACACAACTTCGCCCATTTATAGACCACGTGAACGTGATCAACTGGTCCGCATTTGTACTCAAACAAAAAAAAAAAAGGTCAAATGAAATAATCTAAACTTGAGAAGCACGCTCACTTGAAAGAGGTCATATCTGCCAAATTGAGATTAGAGAAGCGTACCAGCCAGCAGGACGTGCTGCGCCATATCGAGCAGAGATAGCCAGCCTATGATTATGCAGAATTTCTATTGCAGTTAGCAAACAAAGCACTTATGAGGATTTCTTGGTGACTTAAACCTCGGACAGGGTCTGTAAACACTACGACGGAGTACCATCCCAGGAATCCTGGGAAGTGTTTGCCTTTTTTTTTTTTTAACCAGTGGTTGTGAACCAAGCACAGACTCTCATCTGAATCTGAACACTAAAAATAACTAGGTGGCCGTGCCCATGTCCAACACGATAAACTATAATCCTGTCCAAACTACAGATGACTCTGACACAATAAGCTGTTGTCCTGTACAGTTGTAGATATTATAACTAAGCACCTGTTTTGGTCTCCGTACTTGCCCCCCCCTCACCCAACCTCCCTCCTGACTGGTTCATCCAGATTTCCTGTTAGCCAACAAGGTCTTTGCACTGATGCTGTGATTGGATTTTCTAGAATGGGTGCATCTCGGTGGTTCATTAAAGTAAATCACACATTGTGATATATTTAATGTGTTGATTTTAGAAAATGATTTGAACTTACAGTCAATGAAAACCTACAATTCAGTTTCTCAGTACATTAAAACAAAGCTTTAGACTTAAAAGATATATTTAATTACAAAAAGTGATAACCGGAATGTTTATGTACTTTCCTCTGTATGTTTTATGTTTGAATTACTGCCTCGGTGTGGCAGGAAAAGGAAGAGATTCGTTCAGTTTTGTTGAAGTCTTCCAGGTTCCCTTATCGCAGGTCTGGGGTCTTCATCTTGACAATAGCTATGGGCACAAATAATCGGCTGGAAGGCCTGATCAGATCGAAAATTTTTTATATAAACATGTCAGACTGAAGGATTTAATCCGACTGGGAAAAAATGTCCTTCTGAAAGCGAGGGAGTTTCCTCGGGTCGCCATTTCGATTGGGATCCGTTTACACACCAATTCAGATAATTGGCGTAAAATAAACACTCAGCGTATGTGCCTGACGTTTTTTCAGAAATTTGACAGTTTTGTGCCTGTTTAAATGATTTAATCTGCTCAAACTGTGGTTACACACGACATGATCCGATCATGTTCTTTAGTGTCCGTAAACACATTTACAATTTTTGATGAAGGTTTGGATCCAATTAGGAAAATGTTGCACTTGTGTTTATAGATTTGCATTGATATGGGCAAAACCCACCCTAAAGAAGAATTAAACTCTGATCTCTGTAAAACCCATCTCCACAGAGGAGTGTAAATGGATCCTAAAGTCCTGCTTTGGATTCAGTAGAACTCGAGTTTAGGAACTGAGTTTGGGTTTTTTATTGGCTGCAAATCCCAAAATTTAATAAAAAAATTAAGCTGATTTAATTTTTCACTTCAAATTAAATATGATGCACCTGTTTCAAATTCATCAAGCACATCGAGGTCCTTCTGCAGCCAACTCTGGACCAGCGGGAACATGGCTTGTTGTACCAACCAAAATAATCTGTTTAAAACACACACAAAAACATAAAAAGCACTTAACCCATCACTTATGTCATCAACCCGCCTAAAACATGCGAGATCATCAGATTTGTGCCTTTATCTGCCAAGCAGGGCACCAAACTAGTGATGTCATTAGACAGTTTTAGCTGATATCTCACTTCAAATTCACGCTTTTTTCTTACAAACTCCTCTTGGTACTGGAAACGTTTCTCAGACTGCAGGGATGCAAACTTATTTTTGTGTTATGTTTCAGTCCAGGTCCTTATGTCCCCGTCCCCCCCACCCTCAAGCATTTTCTTGTGTTGTACATAAACTAGCAGCAAAACAAAAAGGCCAGAGCATAGAATGAAGGAGGAAGCATGCAGAAACAGCAGCATACACTGTAAGAACACTGAATTTATTCACCGGGCATTTTTGTAATTATTTTTTCTTAACGCATCAGTTTTTGCTGTGACATTAATAACGGCACTACATGTATTGATAATGACGCGTGCCAATTCTTCTGGGTTCTTCTGGAGGAAAAAAAAAACAAAAAGAAAAAAATAGAAGGAGAAAGTCGGGTGTAAATAGGGAGCCGATTGGATTCGTAGCGCGCTTCTCGTTTGAAAGGCAGGAGAGGAGAGAAGGGACGATTCAGGACTTTTTCCATGATCCACAGATATTTTTCTACAAATTTAAATCAGATTATTCTATACACTGTTGAATAACATTGTAAAGGTGTAACAGATGCTGTATATCATATCTTGTTTTTTTTTTCTTTTCTGAAGTTGTGAAAGCTTTACTGTATGATCTGTTTTGAAGTAGTAGTTGTTAGTTGTGATGGAAGCCCGAACCGCAGCAGCAGCACTGGTCAACATATTCAGGAGAAGAAGAGAAACATAAAAACAATATTTAAAAAAAAAAAAAAAAAAAAAGAGAGAGAGAGGAAACCTCAGATGTTTTTTTGTAATACTTTTAGAATATATCCTAAGAAGTGTTTTTTCCTTGTTTGTAAGGAAACACTTTCTGAATCAGCGGTGCTGTATGCATAGCACACTCAGTAATACATTTATTAACACGCAGCACAGCACAAAACACTCAGCCTTCTTAAACACCCCCCCTCCGCCTCCTTCAGGCCCATCCAGGTGTGTCTGTGTTCCCCTCTCACTATCGTTGGCTCATTTATAGTCTTAAGCCATCATCTCTTAGATCCCTCAGCTGACAGATCAACTCTGGAACAATAAACGGTTCAAGACGGAGCAAGAAAAATAAAATAATAATAAAAAAAAGCCAAATGGTGACGAAGTTTTTCCGCGTCTGTCGAGAGGCGCTCGGCAGATTTAGTTGTGTTGCTACCTAGTGTCGTCTCTTCTGTTTGCTCTTAGCTTGAACAACAGTGTAGTCTGACAACCAAATGACCTGGAGGGAGACCTGTACCCCGTCCCCCCACATATTCCTCTCTTCCTCCCCCCTTTTGGAAAGCTTTAAGATGCTTGTTGAGGCTTTAGCAGGTTCAGAGTGTTTCTAAATGATTCATTTTATTTCATTTTTTTTTTTCAAACCCGCCATCAACAACGTGGAAGTAATAATCCTCATAACTTCTCCCACTGCTTATTTTGTGAGTGTGTGAGAGCAAGCGGACGTGTGTGTGTTGTAGAACAAGAGGCTGCATGACTGTAAAGGGATGTTACAATGTTTTTATTCTGTTTGGGTTGTTCCTTTTTTTTTTTTTTATAAATATATATATATATGTGGTTTCTTCGGCACTTCTGTCACTCCTGAGATGCTTTTATTTCTCTGTCCTTCGGGGTGTCCCTCTGTTTGGTTTTCCTTTCCTCATGTATCATGGTTTCTTTTAGCTTTCTATTTACTAAACGTATCATGTTGTTTGTTCTCAGCACTGTAAAACAGTCCCTTCTACGACATTTGAAAAGCAATATCACTGTATGAAACGTTCACAATGTATTTGTTATGATTGACATTTGATTCATCATCATTATTATTCACATGCACCCTAGGTGTGATAATTGAAGTAAATCTCTTTTATACAAATACTAAAAGTGTGCTTCTGTTGTTTTCTGTTTTTAAATGCGTGGTTCCCAAACAAAGTATTCTCAGAGAAAGAGTCTAGGTGAGGTTTAGATGAATGCTTAGGGTTTTCAGGGATGTTTTGGACTCCTTTGCCATTTCCCTCAGGTGAGTCCCTTTAAAAGCTACTTATAACTTCAGAAAGGAAGTCGGACCGTCTGTTAAATGATCTTTGCGCTCCGCAGGCCGTTACTCTGAGCTGCAGATGGAGTTCTCTGCTGCTGTGCGCACCAGCGCAGAGCAGAAGGAGCTGATCCTGAAGCTGGAGCACGACCTGAGCACCATCCAGGCCATGTCCTCCCTGCCTCGGCCCGACGCCGATGGGTCGGAGGTCAGCAACATGGGAAACATCCCAGAGCCAATCAAAGAGGCCTCTGCAGCTTTTACAGGTGAGTACTTTGTTTGTGATTTAAGTTGATTCTGATCTTTATGTCATATGGAGGCATATTAGTCCTGAATTGTTTCAGTTCATTCTAGTTACAGTACAGCACAGTCAAATCAGATGATAGTAGATAGCAGAGATGTTAATAGAACCTAAAAAAATGCTGGAAACAAAAGTTATATGGAGTCATTTAGGAAAGAGACACAGTTCAGGATAGCAGCACTGGGCCATGAGTACTTTCTGTTAGAGAAATGGGTCAGTCATAATCTATTAGGGAAGAAGGTTCAGCTAAACATAGATAGTTGGGTCAGATGTCATCTCTACGGAAAAGAGACAATGGTTAAACAATCAACGGCAGCCGTAGCTTCATCATTGGCCTAGTTTAGCAACACGTAGCTGTTGCTAAACTAGCATGAGCCGGAGGTACTTTCTATTGCAGTAAAAACACAGAAGGTTCAATTAAAGAAGACACTAATGTTTTCTGTGGCTTTGTCAGAGAAAGATGCACAGCTAAACAAAGAAATTAGCAGAAAAAGTAGGAGTATGCACATTTTATAGAAGCAATCTCTCAGTCGATGTAGATAAACAAGAAGAGGATGAAACCAAGGTGCTTTTGTGTCTTCAGTCCACTTAAACTCAGACTGAACTCAATTAAAAATCTCATGTCCTTTAACCAAAAAGGTCTGCTTTTTGAATTTCAAGCTGCTGTAAATCTCATTTAGAGAGAAGCTCATTTGTTAAAGGCTTCTCTCTGCCCTCCAAACTATATATCCTCCCTTGAGGATTAGCTACAGTTTGATTTATTTAAGGTGTATATTAAGGAGAAACGGCCTCTAGGAGGAGAACAAGCTTCTTTCTGGCAAATCTGAGCTGCAGTGGCTGCAAGGTTAAGATAAGCGAATAGACGGCTTACACCATCCAGCCCTTATAAAACAGAAGGCCTGGTGTTCTTTGAATTGGCTCAGGGGTTATCAATGGAAGTAAAGTTTCTGTGACAGCTTGATGTCAAATCA